CATTTTGTAGGTTGTCTCTTTGCTCTGACAATTGCTTCCTTCACTGTACTGAAGCTTTTTGAACTTCATGTAATTCTACTTGTCAATGTTTGTTTTATTTCCTGCCCTCTGAAGTCCTTTCCAGAGAGAAAAATCCTCTGCCCAGGGCTGGGGATGAGGCTCCCCTGCTGTCCTGGGCTGATCCCTTGACTCCATAACCTGGGTCTGTGGCTGAAAGCGACTCTGCAGTTAACAGTGCTCACTGCTCTGGCAGAGGACTTCCATGGTTTGTAACTCCAGCCCCAGGGGACCCGACGCCCTCTTGTGGCCTCTTTGGGAACCTGCACACATGTGGTACCCATACATACACTCATGCATACACACATAAAACAAAACAAAACAAAAAGCTAAAAACAAACAAACAAAGTAGATGTGGTGATATAAACCTGTGACTCCCAGCACTCCAAGGATGGAGGCAGGGGTATCAGAAGTTCAAGGCAGTCCAAAAAGAAAAAAGAAAAAGAAGAAGATTTTGCCTATGCCTGTGTCTTGAAATTTATCCATGGGTTTTCTTGCAACAGTTTCAAAGTTCTAGGTTTTAATTTAAGGTCTTTCACTCACTTGAATTAATCTTTGTGTGGAGAGAATCTAGAACCTTCAGGAACTTTTGTGTGGCCTGTAGAGATTTCAGTATCGGTACTCCTGAAGGAGCCCATGCTCTCTTCCTACACTGCTATGAGTGTGTCCTTTAGACATTCTGACACTACCTTTTGTGGTTATTGTGTGTTTGGTGATTCACATCAATTTGGGTTCTGTCTTAAAAAAAAAATTTTTTTAAAAATTAATTTATAGCTGGTTGTGATGTCACAAGCCTTTAATCCCAGCACTTGGGAGGCAGAGGCAGGCGGATCTCTGTGAGTTTGAGGCCAGCCTGGGCTACAGAGTGAGTTCCAGACCAGCCACAGCTACACAATGAAATCCTATGTCAAAACAGAAACCAACCCTAGGGTCAGCTATGGGGTACAATTCTGTAAACGCACCACTGGAGGGGTTGAGGCAAGAGCCATGAATTTAAGACCAGCCTGAGCTACATAGTGAGACCCTGTCTCAAACCAACCAACCAAACACACACATACGCACACACACACACACACACACACACACACACACACACACAGGCACACACATGCACACACAGACATGCACACACAGGAAGAAAGAAAAAAGGGCATTACGTGACTCAGTGAATAAAGACTCCTGATGACCTGAGTTTAATATCTAAGATACATAAGAAGGAAAGAACTGGGCTGGAGAGATGGCTCAGCAGTTAAGAGCACTGGCTGTTCTTCCAGAGGTCCTGAGTTCAATTCCCAGCAACCACATGGTGGCTCACAACCATCCGTAATGAGATCTAGTGCCCTCTTCTGGCCTGCAAGCATGCATGTAGGCAGAATACTATATACAAAATAAATAATAAATCTTAAAAAAAAAAAAAAAGGAAAGAACTGACTCCTGCAAGTTGTCATCTGAACTCCTCAGGTGTGCTGTGTGTGACATATGCACACACATACATGCACACGCACGTACGTGTGCACGCCTGCCCACATGCAAACACATGCACACACAAAATAAAATCTAATTTAAAAATTAGACAAAAAAAGCAAACATGGATATACATATATCAAAACATCATATTGTGCCCCATAAATATGTTCCATAATTCTGTGTTGACTTAAAAAAAAAAACTACACCCCAATTTTCAAATGAGATCTAGTAGCACAGGCCAACCGTAATCTAATGTAAAATCTAGTAGCACAGGCCAAGACTTAGAAGGTAGAGGATTGGCACAGGCTTTTAATTCCAGGATTCAGGAGGCAGAGGCAGGTGGATCTCTGTGAGTTTGAGGCCAGTCATAGAGTGAGATCCAGGACAGCCAAGAGTACACTGAGAAACCCTGTCTCAAAAAACAAAACAAACAAACAAGTTCAAGGTCATCCTCAGTTACAGGGCACTCTCCAGGCCATCCTGAGCTACCTAAGACCCTTTCTCAGTACCAAGTTTAAAAGAAAGGTTACCAGGTTGGTTCAGCAGACAGAAGGAAGCATTTGCTGTGCAGAGCTCGACCTAGGTTTGACCCCTAGATCCCAGGATGGAAGAGAAAAACAAGTCTGGAGGTTGTCCACTGACTGCCACACCTCCTGCTGTGACACACACACACACACACACACACACACACACACACACACCCCACAATAACAATGAAAAACCATACAGCACTGTGTTTTCTGTCCAGGTGAATGAGCTAAGCCTCAGGAATAATATCCCAACTGCTTCCAGTGAAATAGCCCAGATGTGGGTAGTGGAGAATCTTGGGAGGCCTGGTGGAAGGGCTGGACTGTGGGGAAGGGAGACACATTGGAAGAGGGTGGACAAAGTGTGGCCTTGGTGTGAGGACTCCGCACAATTCCAGGGTCAGAGTTCCTGCCGTCCATCTGCCGCCTCTTTGGTTCACTCGGCCACTGGCATGCTGTCCAAGGCTGTGTCCATGAGTGGCATCAATCTCCTCTCGGACTGCTCAGATCTAGATGGTAAGTAAAAGTGGAGCTCAGAATGGTGGCCCCTTCCTCACCCATGTCTCCAGCAGTCCCAGAGTTAGCTGAATCTCGGGGACCTGCGTTATACACAGTCATACACTCTTGGGGTTCTGAAAATCCTTAAGTGAGGGTTCTTATCAGGACAGCAGCATCCCTGAGACTGTCCTGCCAGTGAACAGGGACACAAGCCAGAGGGGTCTTCCCAGGCTCCCCTATCACTAGAGATGGAAGACAGTTACTTGAAGGGCATCTTTATCCTGAAGATGACATTTGCAGGGGCTGGCAAGATGGCTCACTGGGTAAAGGTGCTTGCCACTAAGTCTAACACTGCAGCACTTCAGCCCTTTCCACCTCCCAGAGCGGGAAGGGACCATTCAGTTCCAGCTAGTTCTTCGCCTTAGCTTGTTCTCAAGTCCTTCAGCGCTGCTCTCCTCAGACCCCGCCCTCTGTCCCTGCTCCCCAGTGGCCGCCCTCAGGAATGGCGTCACATGCACCTGCAGCCTGGGAACCTGATCCAGGTGGAGGGGGTTGGGAAGGCAGCCTTAGGTGCCTTTGTCTGGCTTTTACTGGACACTTCTCTTTTCCTTGTGTATTAGCAGGTAACGCGTCCCAGTCCTCTGCCGCAGACCTCAGCAAATGGTGAGTTGCGGGGATTCTGAGCCCATCAAAGGCCTAGATGTAGGAGTGATGGGTGTGGGCCATGGATTTTGTAGCCCTAAAATTCCCTGCTTCTTCAAAGGCTGTTCCCCAGAATGCTTCTGACAGAGGCCTTCAAATAGCCATCTGCCCGGGCTGCAAGACTCCGTTTTCTTTCTGTTGTGTAGTAGCCTGAAGAGATGGAAGAATTAGGGAGAGAAAAGGAGTACAGCCAACCCCTACGGAATCTGCCCAATAGCAGAGAGAGAGAGAGAGAGAGAGAGAGAGAGAGAGAGAGAGAGAGAGAGAGAGAGATGCTTTCTGTTGTCAGTGACATAAAGGAGAGTAGACCACCCTGCTGCTGGATGGACAGTGACCATTTGGGTGAGCTTTGGATGGTAAATAACGGCCGACAGAAAGTGGTTCAAAGGAGAGCTAGTCCAGGGCCCGGGGCCGTAGAATCCCCAGCAGAGGGACAGGGCCTGACATGGAGCTTAGAAATGGAGACGGATGCTGGACATTTCAATAACTATGCAAATAAGCATGCAAAATCAGCACCTGTTTATCTGGCTTGTGTGGCCAAAGCCTTATTAGATCAGGGCAGCCTTCTCACTCAGTGTGTGTGTGTGAACAACACATGGGCCCTTTAAGAGTCGGGCTCTGATTTGTGATCCTGAAATTCTCTAGCTGACACAACCTCCTGGCTCCAGTCGGGATTAGCTCATGGGATGGGCTGATGAAATCCCAGGAAATTCGGTTCTTATTGGCTTTTGGCCCAGGGGCTTTTTCCAAACAGCAGAGGGTCTACTACACAGGGCTCTTGTTCTGAGGAGGGAAATGCCCCCTGGAGGGCTGTCTCTCCAACCACATCTGATGGAGAACAGTTTGAGAGGGACTGAGCCCTCCCATCTCCAGCTGGAGAGGAAGGGGGAGGCTGCCTTTACCTGGGAGGAGTCTGGAGTTTCCTCATAAATAGAGGGGTCTGGAAAACTTGAACTTGGAAGATCCAGAAGAGCTAGGAGGTGGGGATTGGGGATTGTTTCCAGTCTCCTATCTCACCTGCCTTTCCTGTGATCTGTTTTCTTTCCCAGCTCCCTCTCCTCACCTCTCTCCTCTCTTTTTGCAGCAGTAGCCCGCTGGAAGGGGACTCAGGGACCTGGGCAGGCTCCTCCCTGCGACGGACCTTCAGCTTCCTCTTGGGCATGACCGGCAAGGCCAAGGTAGGAGACAGCCCGGTGAATAGGAGGCTCAGATCTGCTTGCAATGCTCTCCATTTCTCTTCCTCCATGTCTCCGCAGGCCACCCCGCCCAACTCTCCTCACAGAGACTCGGGGCCAGGGCTTTCATTTTAGGAGAACACATGGTGTACCTTCAAGGCTCTGAGTGTCCCAGAAAATCAGCCTTTCTCCGTTCCCCTCCTTTCCTGCTTAGCAGACAGCTGCGGCAGACAGCTGGAAGAGAAGGGCCAGGAGCGGAGGAATGGCTCAGGGCTCCCTTGCTTTAGGCCACCCATAGCTAAGAGGTGGGCAGCAGAAAGCTTGCCCATTGGACACCAGGATGATAATTACAGCAAACGCCTTTCACTTATTCATAGAGTGAGAGTTTTCAAAGTGCTTTTACACTCATAATTTTATGGGTGGATACAGCAACTGAAGGAGTTGAAATGAGACCACAGGCAGAGTGGGAGCCAGGGAGGTATGTGATTATGGAGCACATGTGTGGCCATGTGCCTAGGGATGCCAGGAAGTGAAGGTGTCCTGCCCTCGCCTGTGCGGGTCGGCACTCCTTGACTCTGGTGAAGCCGGGAGCTTTGGCTGCAACCTGAATTGTCCATTTTCTTTCTTTTTAAGCTTCTCACTCTGTAGCTCAGACTCCCCTGGAACTCACTATGTAGCCCAGGGTAGCTCAGACTCCCCTGGAACTCACTATGTAGCCCAGGTAGCCTCAACTGTGGCTTTCCTCCCATCTCAGCCTCCACAGTGCTTAGCGTCCAGATTTTAGGCATGAGACACCACATGGCCTTTTGTTTATATTTATTTATTTTATTTTGAGACAGGGTTTCATACAGGTCAGGGTGACTTTAAATTATATAGCTGATGATGACCTTGAACTCTTGATCCTTCTGCATCTATTCCAAGTGCTGGGACTCCAGGCATGCACCACCACACCTAGCTGTGGTGGCTTCCTTCCTTCCTTCCTTCTCTCCTCCTCCTTTTTCTTCCCTGGCAATTACTACCCAGCTCTGCAGCCTGGCTGACCATCGTCATCCTACCCCAGCCTTCTGAGCGCTGGGCTTACAAGCTCCACTTCTGCAGCAGGATGAATCACTCTCCTTCTCGAGAGTAGCATGCCCGTGCTTTCCAACCTGGAGGAGACACCATCCTCTTTGGCTGACAGAACCATGGGGTCACCCCAGTCAGGTTGTTGCCTCAGCAGCCAAGTGCAAGCAGGGTTCTTCTGGGGGCCAGACTCTGAGGGCATCTGAGGGCAGGAGGTGGCGATGTAAGATGTAAGCAGGTCCATTGCTAGGACCTTCTTCCCAGAGGGGGAGGGAGTTGAAGGTGATGGAGACATGATAGGTCATATCACAATCTTTTTTTTTTTTTTTTTTTTGGTTTTTCAAGACAGGGTTTCTCTGTGTAGCTTTGTGCCTTTCCTGGAACTCGCTCTGGAGACCAGGCTGGCCTCGAACTCACAGAGATCTGCCTGGCTCTGCCTCCCAAGTGCTGGGATTAAAGGCGTGCGCCACCACCGCCCGACCACAATCTTTTTTTTAATATTTATTTTTATTTTATGTGCATTGGTGTTTTGCCCGCGTGTATGTCTATATGAGGCTGTCAGATCTTGGAGTTACAGACAGTTGTTAGCTGCCTGTGGGTGCTGGGAATTGAACCTGAGTCCTCTGGAAGAGCAGACAGTGCCTTTAACCACTGAACCATCTCTCAAGCCCCCGGGCATAGCACAATCTTAAAACCCCTGGACATGAGGGAGGCAGGCAGGGTCAGGAAGCAGACTGCCAGAGAACAAAGCAGGCAGGAAGCCCTTAGGATCTGAATCCCCCTCCCCCACACAGGCTCTGTCAGGCTGTCACTCAGCATTTGCTCACCCTTGGCCTAGCAGTCTGGTAGGAGATTGAGTAACCTGAAGAAGGGGAACCTGGGTAGAGACTCTGGAGCATGGACAGGGAACAAGAAGAGCCAGCATAGGTCAGTGCACTCTCCTGCTTGTTGGCCTGTCTTCACCAGAGTCCTCTCTGGGTCTCTGAAACCCCATCCACCTGCTCTACACCCTCCTCAAACGTGTGTGCCTGCATCACACTGTACCTTTCTCCCTTGTCCCCAGCTTGGGTACCGCTGCTGCTTATTGCTAGGGATGGATGGAGAGGAGGAGGTAGCTTGTTCCTCCCCACTTGACTGGCATCCCGTAGCTAGCCAACCACTTTCCTAGAGCTCACCATGCACTTCTTAGAATGGCTCTGGCAGAGACAAGTGATGGTGATACATTAATCACCACTTCACAGACAAGATAACCTAGAGGCTGCGTTACTTAGGTTCCCTCAGCTTGCTTGAGGTGCAGCACTCATTAAGAGGTCTGTGCCTCTCTTGCTAACCTACAAAGCCCAAAGCCTTCCCCCACCAGCTCCTGCTGGGAAGCCACTGTGGTCATGTATACCTTAGTCATCCCCAAGTCATGTCTAAGGCCCAACCTAAGCAAAAGAAAGGCTGATTTGTGGACTGTGAGCACTGGGGTCTCGGCAGCTAGAGGCACTCTTGGTTCCTCTAATGACCCTTTGGAAATCAGACCCTTCCTCCCTAGCTGTCCATGGGAATGGCACCTTTTTTTTTTTTTTTTAATCCAATGAGAGCATTGGCTACTTTTAGATTCTGGCAGAGGTTTTTGTTTTTTTTTTTATATATAAAAACAATTTCTGAAAGATGTCACTGGGTAGGATTACATGGGGGCTGGAATGAAAGAGTTTGGGAAAAGGGAGGACACCCAGAAGAAAGGAAAACATTCATTGTTCCAGAGGATACAGAAAACAGAAACAGAGTCAAGCTGAAGACATAGGCCATTAACTACAGCTGGCTTTAAAGGCTTGGTTTTCAGAGTGCAGAGTTGGGGAGCCCTGAGAGCCGGTGGGATGGGATGGGCAGCAAGCTCAAGTTGGGGAACACCGTAAAAGACTGGAGGGATCACACCTTCCACTTGGACTTTATGTACTGACCAGTCCCTCAAAGAGCCTGGGAGTCAAATCCTAGATTTATTGCTTACTCAAAGTTTGGCTCACAGCACTTTCTAGCCCAGGCCTTGGAGAAAAGTGAGGCCCCAGCCCAGGAGAGGTCTCTGAGACCCCAGTGGTAAAGCCAGGAGCTAGGAGTCTGTCCGGCTAGCTGCTCTTTTTAAAGCTAGTACATTTCTCAGCCATGGCTGGTCACTTAAGGGAGGGCCAGTAAGTACACAGGAGCGCCTGAGGCCTTTCCTAGGTTTCCTTTAGAGGAACCAGAATTGGCCTGGGAAAGTCCTTTCTGCTTCATCCAGCTAGCCTGGCCTGGGCATAGTTTGTTTCCTTTATTTCTGGCCTTTACTATAAAAGGATCCTAAGCAGAAAAATGGGTGCAGAAGGTGAGGGAGTTCCAGGCAGGGGATAGGTCAGAGGAGCAGAGTGGGGGTGGTGCAGGGGTGAGGAGCCCAACCAGCACAGCCGGTGGTTGAGGCGGTGAGCCCAAAATAGAGATAGAGGCTAAAACTGGCACCTCGAGAGTGAGTGCAGAGTTGGACTGGAAACCTGCAGCCCAACATCATCCTGTCCGGCTGGGCTACTGAGAAGGCCAGGAAGCTAGCAGCCATGGGCGGGGCCTCATATCCCTCCCTCATCCCCATCCCACCACACACTTTTTGGGACTAGATTAGAAATTTTTACTAAGTTTTGTCCCAGGGTGCTGTGTGTGTGTGTGTGTGTGTGTGTGTGTGTGTGTGTGTGTGTGTGTGTGTGTGTTTTGTTTTGTTTTTTCCAGACACGGTTTTTCTGTGTAGCTTTGGAGCCTTTCCTGGAACTCACTCTGTAGCATCAGGCTGGCCTCGAACTCACAGAGATCCGCCTGCCCCTGCCTCCCTAGTGCTGGGATTAAAGGCTTGCGCCACCACCGCCCGGGCTGGGCTTGGTGCTCTGGTTTTTACAGAGCCGTTGGATACCTTGAAAGGTGGAAAGGAGCAGCCTGGAGAAAGAATTTCCCCAGTGGCAGGAAACTCAGGTTGACTCAAAGGGTCCAGTGAGGTGAAAACCCACCCACACTCCTTAGCGAGCTCCAAATACTTCCTGACCAAGGAAGGTTGTGTCGAGTCTTCTGGGTCTAGTTGAACATGCAGCGGAGAGAACTGGTGTCAGGACACAAGGAAGGATTTCCTCGGCTAGCCTCAGGAAAGGTGGAGACTTCTCACTTCACTGCCAAAGTAGTTGGCAGAGGTGGTGTTGGGAAGGATGGTCAGAGTGTGGTCCACAGGGCCAGAGGTGTGAGTAGCTTGCCGGAGTGGGGTGGGGGATGGGGGGTGGGGGGGAGGGGGCTCTCCTGTGGATTCCCCGGGCTTTGTAAATTGAGTCCTCTTCACTCTTTTGGGGGAGTGAAATCTACTGATGAAGCTTCTAGTTCCCTTTTGATTCCCCCCCTCCCACCAGTCTTAACTGTAAAAGCAGTCTATGTACTCGAGTCTATTTGATGGGCCCTTAGGGCTAGTTCCCGCCCCCGCGGTCGACGAGGGAAGCGATAGAACCCTCGACCTGAGGGTCTTTAAAGAGTGAAGTTACCTGGAACGGGTGCCAGTGTTTCTTTAGGGAGAGGCGAGCTAAGAGGCGGTCGCTGAGGTCAGAGCGTGTCCCAAAGTGCTAAAGGGAACAGGCAAGAGGGCGCCTCGAACCTGCTGTCTACGGACCCCTGTCCTCCAGGCTGTAACAACACTAACCTTGGCGTCCCGTCCCGTGCGCGGGTACCCCGCCCTGCCTCCGCTCCGCCTCCCCCCTTCCTGAGCCCGGGCGAGGAGGGAGGAGACAAGGGTTTGAGGAACTGGCGCTGGGTGCCGGGGCTAGGGGACTCAGACTTCCTGTCCCCAAGGCCGACGCGTGCGGCCGGACCCCTCCCCCGCCGCCGGAGCTGGACGCCCGGGTCCGCCGCGTCCGAGCGCGGCTCACGCTGGATTATGTCTCGGATCGAATCCCTCACGCGCGCACGGATCGAGCGGAGCAAGGAGCTGGCGACCAAGGTGGGCTGGCTCCGCGACCGCGCGCCCTGCCGACCTCCGTCCGGGCCTCCGCCCCGCGCCCCGCTTCCCCCCCCCCCCCACCTCCCGCCCGCCCTGGGGAGCGGGAGTCCGCGCGCTGCGGCCGGACGGGGTGGGTGGGGCTGCGAGCGCGTGGGGAGGGGGCTGGAGGACCGCGACGTGACCCGCGTCTCCAGCACCCGCGCAGCTTCTGTGCGGGGGGGATCTAGGAGAGCGGAGCTGGGTCCCCAGTGGTTCGGCGGGACCGAGTGTTTTGGGCGGCTCGGAAGAAAGTTGCTCTGGTAAGGGACCGAGCGGGAAAGGGGGCCGTGCGTGTCGGGCTCCGCGGGGCGACGCTTTGGGGTACCCCTCTCTGCGCCCCAGGTCCGCCGGGTTGCTCGCGGTGGTGCCCCCCAGCGCTGGCTCGGTCGTTTCCCCCCTTTGTCCCCACCGTCGGGTGGAGGGGGCGAGAAGGGGTGGTTTCCCAGCTCCCTCCCCCACCTTCCCGCCCCTCCAAGACAAAAGTCAGCTCCTCCTCTTCTCGCCGATGGACTTTCCAGCTGTGATTCAGTTCTTGCCTGGGGTGGGCGGGTGTCTGGGGTCAGGACAGCAAGCGACAGCGCATTTCCCCCGCCAGGCCAGGCCGACTCCCTCAGGTGAAGGGAGCCTGCCTTTGTGTAGCGGGGATGCCTTCCCCCATCCTGAGCGCAGAGGTGCCCGGAACCCGGAGTAGGACCCACCCTTCTCGGCTTCCAGGCTCCTGGTTCTTCAGCCACCTTGGCTGACCCACTCCCCACTCCCCTCAGCTATATTTTGATTATCGCCTCCGGTTAGGGGCCCTCACCTGTCATCTGGAATCTGAGTGTGTAATTCTCAGCACACACTGCATCACGACCTCTCCGCCACGCTTGCACCAGTGTCCTTTATTCCTGTCTTTGTATTCAGACCCACCCCCAATGCGTTGACTTCCCATACCTCAGTCTCCAGGAAGTGGTGAAACCGAGGACCTGTAGACGAATGTGGAGCTAGGAGGGACCTGGTGCAGGCAGATGGGGCCTCCCGGTTCCTCAGGGCACCCACATTATAAGGTTCTCAGAAAGGAAAGGCAGAAGGGGCTTTAATCGTAATCCCTGTCCTCACTGGGAGCTCCGTACCCTCCTGCAGCCAGCCAAGCAGATCCTTTTGAGGCTGGGAAGCCACTCTGGGGATGGAAACCCCTCTCCCTTCCTCCTGGTTCCAGGCTTTAGCGACCTGTCTTAGTGCTAAACTGGGAGCCGGTCTGTAGGTTGGAGAGCCCAGGGGAAGCCTAATGGGGCTTTTCTGAGGCTTTTGGGATGGGAGTCTGCCTACCGGAAGGAAAGCTAGCAGGACTCTGAGTAGCTCCAGGGTGTGATGAGTGCAGTGTGTGAATTGTAGGGTGGCAGACAGCCTCTGAACAACCCCAGCGACAGGCCGGGCCCCAGCTCCCAGAGTCTGTTTATTTTTTCAACCGTTTGAGCGAGACCCTGGAGTAGAGCCAGAGGGGAGGGGGGCGGGATCTTTTTGAAAGCACGGAAATTTGGTTCCACCCTAAAAAGGAAAGCCATGGGGGGAGCTTGGGGGACAGACCTGTGAGGCTGTATTAAGACATTCTAGGGGGTCTTTCCCTAGTCCAGACACCTGGCCACTCATGCCCTGGTTTTTTCGTTTTTTTTTGTTTTTCTCTTCCATAACACGGTAACTGGAAATCCAGAAGCCTGGTTCTTTTATCCTGTGACTAGCCATGGAGGAGGGACTGGGGAATCTGCCTGGGCCAGGGACCCGTGAGTGGTTCTGAGAGGGCAGGGAGGCCATGGGGAGGAGGGAGGTTGTCAGTTTGAGCTGGTCGGAAGGGGCGGGACACCTCCGGAAAGCTGTGGTTACCCAAGTGGGGGAGTTGGTGCTCAGCCAGCAAACCCTGGATCTCCCCCTTCCCCCTCCCCAAGCACACCAGCTGTCTCCTTTCTTTTTATACTGCGGTGGGAAGTAGAGGGGCCCGCTGGAAATGAGATTATTTGAGGAACATGGTCTTCCCTGCTAACCTGTGAGGGAGGTGGGTCAGGGCAGAGATCTGCCGCCCCTCCCCCGCCTCTCTTACTCTTAGGACATCTTCACAGAAGGAAGAATTCAGGTGCAGCCTGCTGCCCCCTTTCCCTTCCGCAGGCATGGGATCTATCCATATGCCCTCCACGCTTCCCTTTTCTCTTCATTGTTTCTGTTCTTCCAGGCTGTCTCCTGTTCTCCACCCCCCCAGTTCTCTCTGCCCTACTTCCTACCTCTTCCAGCCTGAAAGCTGCTCCTTCCTTCCTTAGACTCCTCATCTCCCCTCCGGATTTTCCAGAACCCTAACCGTCTCGGCCCTCAGAACAAAGCAGGGGCCAGAGATCAGAGCTCCAGGGATGGCTTTGGAGGCGGGGGGCGGGGGGGGGGGGGGGGGCGGGGGGGGGGGCACCATGGGTTTTCCTGAACCCTGTGTGTGATGGGGAGCCGGGAGAGAGGGCTGCCTTTGTTCTGAGTACCAGAGAGGTGGCTGGCTTTGTGTGCAGGACCAGGAGGGCAGGGCTGGGGGAGCCCACCAGGGAAACTAGAATAGTTTGGGAGACTTGAGGAGTTGGGGTTCCTCTGGGAAGCTGGCGTTTGGGGCCATCCCAAAAGATTCTAGGGGTAGTGGATGTCCAGGACATCACGGAGGGGAGAGAAAGAAGCAAAACTGGGAAATGAAGTCTTGAGAGGTCACCTAGAGAAACACCCAGGGGCACCAGAGGAGGTGAGGGAGGGTCTGGTCTCTGTCCCACTGGAACTGTGACCTTGAATCGGAGAGGAGACTGGGGTACCCATATGTTTGTGTTGCCTGTGTTTGGGGGGTGTGTCTCTCTGTCTGAGATGCTCATGGGTGCTCTTTGAAAATGAGTGCTTACCATGCTCTGTGGACATAAGGAAGAAGTTCCCGTTTTAAAGTTCAGCCTCTGTTTTGATGTAGGATGTCGGCGCTGAGTGGATTGGTCACGGTTTCTGGAACTGGTAGAGAAATGGCTGCGAAGGGCTGTCTAGACCCTTCTGGGTTTGTTTATGTCTCCGTGGGGAGGCGGGGGATAGGGCAGCAGGCTGCAGCTACCCCCTCCCAACTCAGCTGGCCTGCCCTGTGCCAGGAGGGCAGGGAGTCTGGCACAGCTATTGTTCGCCTCTACAAATGCCCGTCTGTCTGCGTCTGGCCTGACAGGTGTGGCTGGGTGGGAGCAGGCTGGGGTCTGGGGTACCTGGGTCTCAGATCTCTAGCCGGATTTTACTGCCTATGGCTTAAGTGCCCCTTGTCTGCTTCACCGGTGTGCTGCTCAGTCCTGCTGCCCAGTGGTTTAGCACCCTTCCTTAAGCAGGGTTTTCTAAGTGCCTTTGTGTGCTCAGTGATGTCTTTCTCTTTTGTTTCTGGCCTAAGCTTTCATGTCTGTATCTGGCCATCTTCTCTCAGCTTCCAATTTTCCGTTTCCTTCCCTGGAGCTTCTGAAGGAGCAGGGCCTTGCACAGACCATCCGAAATCCCCCTCTTGGACTCCCATCAGGAACCCTCTCCTTCACTCCCCAGTCTCATAGATTTTTCCCTTGTGGAATTAAAACCGAGTTTACCAGTCCTGCACTGCTCAACAACAGCCCTTCCTTCCCCTTCACAACCAGTAACCCTGTGTCTCTGCTATCCAGGGCGGAGCCACAGGCTATTAGTCCCAGTGGACTCCTCCAAGAGCCCTCTGGCTGTGGAGTCTTGAGGAAGAGGCAGCTGCCGGTTGCTGACTGAGGTGTTTGTGAATACCACACAATTCTCTCAGAGGCCTTGGAATGGAGAGAGGAGGGCAGTGAGAACTCAGGCCTTGGGAGAGTAACTCTGCAGCCCCTGAGGAGCTTGGGAAGCTGGAGTCTGGGTTTGCCTTTACATGCATCATTGTTTTCTCTTAGCCTAGGACACAAGATGGAGAACCTGTCCACACTCGGCCCCTGTGCTCCTTATCCACAGCAGCCAAGAGTGTGGAAGGAGTTTTTGAGTTGGTGTTCTGACCCCCAGAGGAAACCCTCTTGGTCTCAGAGGATGTAGGAGAGTGGGTTGGGAGTGCTCAGGAGGCGGGAAAGGAAAGGAGGCTGAAGTCCCCAAGGCTCCCATAGGGAGTAGAGGGTATCCGGAGATCGGGGTGCCACTGGAGACCCCGTCTTTTCTTCCTTTCTCACCTCTGTTTCTGAGCACACATCGGGTGCCTGCTGTACTTGATGAGGCTTTGTGCTAGGTATGGGTCTTAGGACAAAGGTTGGCCTTGAACTCCTGATCCTTGTGCCTCAACCTCCCACGTGCTGCAATTACAGGAGTATGCCGCAACACCCAGCTCTGTTCACTTCTGTATTCAGTTAACCCGACATGTAGCATTAGCTTGGATAGTTGTCAGTGAGCAGGGGAGACTTTTCTGGATCTGTGGAGAGGAAACAGGACACACGGAGCTGGACAACAGAGGGTTGGGTCCAGCAGAAGGGGCTCTGCACACTGGGGTGAGTGTTTGGATTGGGGAATGACAGCTCTCTCTTACCTCTGTGGTTCTGGGATTGAACCTAATGCTTCCTGTCTACTAGACCCTTGAGCCTGGGAGCACCATCCCCTGCCCTTTTTAGAGTTTTTCTTTGAGATAGAGCCTTGCTAAGTGGCCCAGGCTGTCTTTGAACTGTCCATCCTCTGACCTCAGCCTTCCAGAAAGCTGGGCTTCCAGATGTGTACACCACCCCTAACTGTAATAGGCCCTTTCCTGGTGGACAGACTGGGCCATGGAGGAGATGGGGGGCTGCCCTGCTTGCTGTGTGTAGAGTGGAAGAGAGTGAATCCAGCCAGCCCATCTTTCTCCCTGGTCAGCAGTTCCCATGTCACTCCATTCTCCACAGCCTGGGCCTTGGGCGGGCTCAGTCCAGCCATCTCCGGGACAATAGTGCTAGGCAGTGCCAGGGAGGCTTGCTGCTGGCCAGTGCCCATGCTGGGATGTGCTGCAGCTGCTGCGGCTGCTGCCCGCTGCTTGCCCACCGAGAAACAGGGGCCACTTCGAGAGAGGGTGAGTGTTGGCAGGTGGAAGGCGGGGACCAGAGCAACTGGGGTGTGCATGGGCAGTGGTGCCAGCGAGGGAAAGGGCTACTAGAGCCCCCAGTTCCTTTCTCCCTCGGCCACTCCCAGCAGAGCTGTCCGGGCAGGTACAGAGAACCATGTGGAGAGAAACCTATCACAGCTGTAGAATGTACTGTAAGCACACTCTTCTGTTTGGAGTGACCCTTGCCAGGCATGTTGTTCTCTTTACTGCTATTCTCATGTTTGATTCTTGGTGGGGTTTTTTTTTTTTGTTGTTGTTGTTGTTTTTTGAGACAGGGTCTCTCTGTGTAACAGTCCTAACTGTCCCTGGAACTAGATTTTGGCTGGCCTCGAACTCACAGAGATCTGCCTGCCTCTGCCTCCCAAGTGCTGGGATTAAAGGTGCGCACCACCACCGCTCGGCTGCTTGTTTGCTTTTAATTAAATTGTCACACATGCTCATACTTTAGATCAGTGTCCTAGAGAAGGCTCGGCGGGCAGAGAGGTGGAGGGAGGGAGGGAGAGAGAGGAGTATATGGCAGTGGGAAGAGGTATTTAGACTTGGCCTTTGAAGTCCCTTTCTAGGTGAATTTGAGGTGACTTTGATCTAAAAACAATCCAATTAAAGTGCTGTACTTTCCCACAAGATGGCTGGAGAGTCGGCCAATGGGACGCTTTGCTGGTGACTCAGGCAGGTAGGTGCCACTAGAGAAGAAGAAGCTGAAGTGTCTGAGACTAGAGTCAGAGGGAGGGGTGTCCCTTAGGAGAGGAGGAGTCAGCTGCAGGGAAGGGGGGGGAGGGAGGGAGGGAGGCCCCATGCTTTAGGGAGAAGTAGTTACAGGGCTGTAGAAAGAAGGCTGGGGTGGGACAACGGCGGAAGAGTGCCTGAGCCAAAGATGGAGGACAAGGAGAGAAGAGCAGGATAAGGAGAGAAGCCCTGGCCTGGTGGTGCACGCCTGTAAGCCCAGTACTTGGGTGGCTGAGGCAGGAGGATTGCCTTTAGTTCACGGCCAGACAGGGCTACGCAGTGAAATCCTGACTCAGAGGAACAGTAGAGTGATGGGGAAGGAGAGATGGACGGTGGAGGTGGGAGGAAGCTGAGGCATGACAAGGGGTGACCTCCAGACTGCTGGACTCTGTCACCCCCAGGTCACCCTACTTGAGGGCCGGGACACCTCAAGGCCTAGGGCACTGTGGTCCGTGGCTCTCTGGCCCCTGCACTGCTGACTCAGCACCTCCACGCTTCCCCTTTCCCCCACCCTCCCCCACTCTGACGGCCAGTGTGGTTAGTGGTGTAGGCAGGACCGGTCTTCCAGGCCCAGGCTGAATGTTTGTGTCACTGAACTGTGATTCTCTGTCCTAGGGTCCCAGCCAGTGCCCCTCGCTTCTCAGTCTCAGCCACCTGCACGGTGTCCTTGTCCTCTAACATCTTTAATTAAATTAATTAACTAATTAATTTAGATTCCGGTCTCTCTATAAATCGCGACTAGCTTGGAATTTGCTATGTATGCCAGGGTGGCCTCAAACCCTGCCCCTCCTTCTGAGTGCTGGGACAAAGCCATGCCCCACTGTACCAGCTGTCCTGTCCTTTCTAATTTATTGGATACATGCCATGGTTTGCATGTGGGTGTCGGTTTGGTTCTTCCACTGTGTGGGACCTGGGGATTGAACTTGGGTCATCAAGCTTGGCAGCAGGTGCTTTTCTCCTCTGCCCTCTACCAATCTGTTTGTTTTGGTGGTGGTGGTTTGAGATTGGACCCTATCATCCATATCACTATGTAGCCAAGGATGTCCTTGAACTCCCAAGCTTCCTGCCTCCACTCCCTAAGCGCTGTGTGTGTGCGTGTGTGCGTGTGTTCCTGCATGTGTTTTTTGTTTCTTTGTTTGTTTTGGGGACAGTTGTTCTAGAGCCCAGGCTTGCGGCAGTATTCCTGTCTTAGTCCCCCAGGGCAGGGGTTCTTAGGCATGGGCTTCCACAGCCAGTGTTGTCTTTTCACCTCTGTCTAGCTTTTGGAAAAGTCAGGAGCTTGGGGAGGAGCGGAGAGGAAGTCAAGGACTCGCAGAAGCTGGAGGAAGTGGGAGAAAGCTTAAAGGCAAAGGCATACCTCAGGGACAAGAAGGGACACAATGGTGCTGTAGTCCCAGCACTGAGCAGAAGGCTGGAAGATCCCAAGTTCAAGGTTATTCTTGGCTACTTGAGCCCCCTCCTTTACACACACACACACACACACACACACACACACACACACACACACACACACTTCCAGAGAAGGAGCTTTTGGGCTTTAACTGAGTATAAGTAGAAGAGTTAGAGGTTTGGGGTCCTGACCTCTGGGTTGGGGGTGGCTGAAGACACATTCTGTCCCCCCATGCAGTCTAATAGGGGGATCTCCTGCTTTCCTATCCCTGTTCCCTCATGACTGCTTTAAGACAGCAGCTCCGACACCCGTTGTCATGGTTATGAGAGGAGCAGCTAACTCCCATAGATTGGAAAGCGCTGGTGAGCTGGCACCCTCTCCTTCGCCGGTCCCTCCCTCTGCTCTGCGCATCTCCCCCCAGCACAGAGCGAGCGAGCGAGCGTACAGCAGCCGGGGCGAGCAGAGCTAAGCCTGGGAGGTGGAGTGAGGACGCAGAGATCTAGAGCTAGGGAGATGAGTGGCAACAGGAGGCAACCAAGTCGCCGGGGTCAGGTAGGTCAGAGGCCTAGGAACCTTGAGGACTGACTGCCCCAGGGCCTGGTCATGCCTGGACAGCCGTCCTGACAGGTTCTGCATTAGCAATTGGTGTCATCCCATCCTCTCCAGGCAGGCCGTTCTTTCCTGGGTCTGCTTTCAGCCTGTTTCTCTGCAGGCCGGGTCCCTTAGGCATCGTCTAGCCTCACTTCTGTCTTTCGTCCTTTCCACAGACCCGGGAAAAGGAGAAGATGAAGGAAGCCAAGGATGCTCGCTATACCAACGGCCACCTCTTCACCACCATCTCGGTCTCGGTATGACCATGTGCTATGCCTGTAACAAGAGCATCACAGCCAAGGAAGCCCTCATCTGCCCAAGTAAGTTGTTCGGCCCCCGAAGGTCACTCAGACTTGGTCACCTTCAACCCTAGTCCTTCCATCTGTCTTTCCCACCCCGCATCCTTAAAGGGGACTCTACTTTCTGGGCCCCGGCTGGGCTCAAGTCCCATTGTCCAGGTGCTCGGTCCCTTGCTGCCCTTCCTCACACTGGGTGGTGGCTATTGGAATGTAGCATAAGCAGTCTCTTGGTGTGGGTTGAGGCTGGGATTACTCTTCTTCCAGCTGTCCCTTGCTGGGTTCTCCCTTGCCCCCTGAATAGCTGTTGACAGTTAGGGGAACTGCCTGGAGAAGGAGCAGGAATGTGTGTTGGAACCAGGGTAGGAGAGGAGCTAGGGGATATGGGGGAAGCCGCCAGCCTCGCAGCTGCCTCTGCCCATCTGCCTCTGCCCATCTTCCTTGGCCCATCTTCCTCGGCCCCGCTGGACATTTTAGGCTTTGGGATCCCCTTGCCCCTGCCTTTCTGTTGCATGTGGGTGGAATCTGAAGTCTGTGCTGATTCAAGGACAAGATGGAATTGGGCCTTATCCTGTCTTTCAATGCAGCAGAGAGCTGTGTGGTGGAGGAGGGACTCAGAATTCCTAATCTTGCCCATATCCAGTCATTCGTTATCCTGTCCCAAGGTGGCCCTGTACTGGGGGAGCATAAAGGAGGAATTGCTGCCCCCTTAGGATACCAGTGCAGGGGGGCTCCAGCTCCGCCCTGCCCCCCCCCAACCCCCACACCTCCCTCTGAGTAGAGTGGGAGTGTTGTGGCCTGACGCTGACCAGAACTGGGCCCTAGCCTCCAAATCCCTTTATGACTTTGGGACGGAACCTCAGAAAGAACTAATGAGGCCTGCCTCCCTACTTCTTTACCACTTGATTTAGGGCTAAAAGGACGAGGAGGTAACCCCAATCTAGAGCTCTCTAGAGACCTGACAAAATACTCAATCCGGAAGCTTGTTACCAGGGGAACTGGGGAGGTGGGTAGCACTATTTTGAGAGCAGGTGGAAAGCGGAGGTTTTGATCCAGAGACACTAGGTGTTGGGGGTAGGAGAAGGGAGCTCCAGGGGGTGGGTATTGCCACAGCCATGCTTCTGTCGGCCCCTCTGCCCCCACCCTGTGCGCCTTGTATTTGTGGAAGTGAGCATGGTGCTGGGCATTGTCTGCATGAGGCAGCAGAGTTTCCTGTGGTGTTGGGGTGTGTGTGTGTGGGGGGGGAAGCTGTCGAGCTGAAGGCATGTCAGGAAGGGCACAGCCATGGTCCTGAGCCTAGGCTCTGCTATTCCCTTTTCCTTTCCTACTTCATGGAGAGGTGGGGTGGGGGAGGGGCGGAAGCAGATGGAGTGTGGGAGCTGTAGTTTGCCTGAGTGGAGAACAGAACTTCCCCGGCCTAGAAGGGAGAAAGCAGCCTGAGTGGAGTTAGTGCAGAAGACTGCTGCCTTGGGAAAAGGAAGGGCCACTGGGTCCCGACTTTGAAGCTGGCTTATATGTGAAAGAGTATGGCTTTTGGCTCTGTGTGTGTGTTGTGTGTGTGTGTGTGTGTGTGTGTGTGTGTGTGTGTTGTTTTTGCTTTGTTTTGTTTTTGTTTTTCGAGACAGGGTTTCTCTGGGTAGCCTTGGCTTTCCTGGAACTCACTCTGTAGATCAGGCTAGCCTCGAACTCACAGAGATTCGCCTGCCTCTGCCTCTCGAGTGCTGGGATTAAAGGCCCCGTAAGAGTATGGTTTTGGGATTCAGGCACATCTAAATTTAATTCCCAACTTTCCACTAGCTGGGTGACCTGGGCTAGCAAATAATATCCAGACCAGATTCCTCATCTGTGAAATGAGGGTGTTGAGTGAAGTGAGTAGCGAGCTCTTCTCAGGGGTCTAGGGGCGTTCTGGCTCCTCGGCCACCTTCTGGTCTTGGGAGTCCCTGTGCTCATCTGCCAATGTCATGTCCTTTACGCCTTAGCTCTTCTCACGCAGCAGACACCCTTCCTCCGCTGGTCCCCTCAGGCCATAGCATTCTTCAGCCTTCTGGATTGTCCACATCACACCCCTCTCACTTCAATTCCTGCCTGAAGGATGAGGGAGGCAGGGGAGGCCTTGGCTGTGATAATGACCAACAATTCTGGGAAGCTGGGCAGAGTGTCTGCGGAATGCAAATGGCCTAGGAAGCTGGGTGTTTACATGTGGGTGTGTCCCTCCTGTGCCACCCAGCCCTCCCCTTTAACCCTCTCTACCCCCCATCCTCCCAGCCTGCAATGTGACTATCCACAACCGCTGTAAAGACACCCTGGCCAACTGTACCAAGGTCAAGCAGAAGGTGAGAGGGTAGGGTGGGCAGAGGGGTGGGGGAGGGGCGGTGAGTGCCGTACCTGTCTGCCTTTCCATCCATTCCCTGCCCTTTGTCCCTCTCCCTGCCATGGGGCGGCCCAGAACTGCCACCTTAGGGGCAGGCCTTCTGTAAACATAGCCCTGCCATGCTAATTGACCTACCTTGATGCCTTAACCAGTGTCAGCTTTCTCCCCCGAGGGCAGCTGCGGTCCCGGCTTGTCCTGGGTGTGGGTGGGGGGCGTCTTTGGGTGACAGCTGTTCCTGGTGTCTCTCTTTCGCTCTGTGTCCCACAGCAACAGAAAGCTGCTCTACTGAAGAACAATACCGCCTTGCAGTCTGTCTCCCTTCGAAGTAAGAGTGAGTAATGGGGAAGTTCCCATGAGGCACAGGACCCCCAAGCTCCTGAGCCCGTGGGCTCTGCTGCCCCCCCTGAGGTCATACCCGGACACAAGACAGCTCCTTCTCAATGGAAGTGCCCTGGGTGGGAGTGGCGTAGGGGATGGCCCTTATGCTTGGCCGTACTATCAGGACAAGTCCAAACAGGGATAAGGGACAAGGACGGCTGGTTACTTGAGCCTTGCAACATTCTGTTTTGATGGTCATTTATCTATACTTCATTTGGGGATTATTTGTGGCAACTGCCAACTGTCAGTTCAGAAAAAGCATGGGGCCCGAGTTCCCTCTCACCAGCTTGGGTCACTCCAGACAGATCTTACCTCTCTGGCCTTCAGTTTGCTCATAGGCTTGTCTGGGGTTGAAGAACGTCTCAGAGCAGGCTCTTGGTTCATGCTGAAGGGTTGCACAGTGGACGGTGGCATTCTCTTGATTGGTTTTGCCAACTTTCTCTGACTCTAAGGAGCGGAGAACGGGCCCGACAGTCCACCTTAGTTCTTAGTTCCACTCGAGGAGCCTGGGAGACCAAAGGGCTGAGGAACTCAATTTTTTTTTCCTGCGTGGCCTCCTTCCTTACAGCAACCACCAGAGAGCGGCCAACCTCTGCTATCTACCCTTCGGACAGCTTCCGGCAGTCCCTCCTAGGTTCTCGGCGTGGCCGCTCCTCCTTGTCTTTGGCCAAGAGTGTTTCCACCACCAACATTGCTGGGTGAGCTTCTGTTTGGGGCAGAGGGGGCCCAGCCGGCGAGAGTACAAAGCCCACAAGAGCACCACTCCTTTCCCTGAATTCAGAACTGGAGACAGTTATGTGAAAGATAAGTTCAAACACAGAGTAGCTCTCCTTAGGGGCCCAACCTCGGGTCCCGACCTGGGAAGGGACCTCCTGCCCGAGTGGGGGTGATGCAGATGGCCTCCACTTCCTTCAGACATTTCAATGATGAGTCTCCCCTGGGGCTGCGTCGGATCCTCTCCCAGTCCACAGACTCCCTCAACATGCGGAACCGAACCCTGTCCGTGGAATCCCTTATTGATGAAGGTGAGCGGACCCAGCATGGAGGAAAGGAGTGTTGGCGTGGTTGGTGTGAGAAGAGGCGGGAGGGAAGAGGCGGGAGGGAAGATCCAGGGAAGGGCCCAGGTCCTGCAGAGGAGAGCTGTGCTCTGAGGTGCCTCCTGCCCTGATACCCAGGTGCTGAAGTGATCTACAATGAACTGATGAGTGACTTTGAGATGGATGAGAAGGACTTTGCAGCAGATTCATGGAGCCTTGCCGTGGACAGCAGCTTCCTGCAGCAGCATAAAAAGGAAGTGATGAAGCAGCAGGACGTCATCTACGGTACGCCAGGGGCACTCTTCCCTGCTCGTCTGCACCTCCCCTCTGCCACCCACCTGTCAGGGCGCCTTCTTCCTGTCCTTGGCCTCCATGTCCCTGGCTGGCACCAGGTTGTCCTTAATGCACCTGCTGCTTCCTGCTGATGGGCTTTTTTTTTTTTTATCTTTTTTTTCTTTTTTTAAAAGATTTATTTATTTATTATGTATGCAGAAGAGGACACTAGATCTCATTACAGATGGTTGTGAGCCACCATGTGGTTGCTGGGAATTGAATTCGGGACCTCTGGAAGAGCAGTCGGTGCTCTTAACCTCTAAGCCATCTCTCCAGCCCTAATCTTATTTTTCTTAGAGAAGAGTCTCACTATGTAGGCCAATCTGGTCTCAAACTCTCAGTTCTCCTGCCTCAGCTTCCTGAGTTCTGGGGTTACAGGCATGCACCACTACACCCAGGTCCCAAGGTCCCACCTATATCTCTTCCTCAGCCTTCACTCTGCCTCTTCCACGCCCAACACTGTGCTGGGAACTGGAAACCTACACACCTAACACACGGGATTCTTGCCTTCTTGACATGACGAGGCACAGAGATAAAAACAAACCCAGATGGTCTCAGACGACAGCGATGCAAGTGTTAACTTGGGGGAGATCCACCTTGGGCATCTTGAATTGTGTCCGAGGGAGGGTACAGGGCCACGTAACCCTCTGTCTCTCTCATAGAGCTGATCCAGACAGAGCTGCACCACGTGAGAACACTGAAGATCATGACCCGCCTCTTTCGCACTGGGATGCTGGAAGAGTTGCAGCTGGAGCCAGGAGTAGTCCAGGGCCTGTTCCCTTGCGTGGACGAGCTTAGTGACATTCATACACGCTTCCTCAGCCAGCTGCTGGAACGCCGGCGCCAGGCCCTGTGTCCAGGCAGCACCCGGAACTTTGTCATCCAGCGTTTGGGTGACTTGCTCATCAGCCAGGTAGGAAATGGCAGGACTCCTGAATGATGTTTGTAGACGGAGTTAGGACAGAAGTAAGCAATTCTTGTTTTGAGACAGGGTCTTATGTAGCTCTGGCTGTCTAGGAACTCACTATGTTGACCAGGCTGGCCTCCAGCTCACAGACTTGCCTCTACTTCCCACGTGCTGGGATTAAAGATGCACATTGACATACATGGCTCTTTAATTAAGAAAAATTATATGTGTGTGAGTGTGTGAGCATGCATGCATACATGCGTGTGTGTGTGTGTGTGTGTGTGTGTGTGTGTGTGTGTGTGCGTGTGCCCCCACGCGCCTATACACGAATGTATATGAGCATGTGGAGGTCAGAGGACAATTCTGGGAGTTGGTTCTTTCCTGCCATGTTTTTGGCCAGAGAGTGAGCAATTCTTACCTCCAACCAAACTCTGGTGGCAGGAAGGGAAGCTGGGAGAACGGGCGAGGAGAAAGCTGTCTAGCAGGCCAGAGGTGTGCTGAGGGGTGAGGTGCAGCTCTGCAGGAAGTGCTGACCTGGTCTTGCTGTCGTGACTTCTAGTTCTCAGGTTCCAATGCGGAGCAGATGCGCAAGACCTACTCAGAGTTCTGCAGCCGCCACACCAAGGCCTTAAAACTCTATAAGGAGCTGTACGCGCGAGACAAACGCTTCCAGCAGTTCATCCGGGTAAGCAAGCGTCTGCAAGCCCAGGCTCAGCCTTCTCATGGCCCAGACCTCTCCCATCCCCAGGGTGGCATATGCCTCCTGTGCATGCATAGATGGCAGGCACTCAAACACTCCTGTGGACCCTTGTGTGCTCTTAGATCTCTTTGGGTTTTTGAGACAGGGTCTCATTATATAGCCCTGGCTGTCATGGAACACACTATGTAAACCACACTGGCCTCAAACTCATAGAAATCCACCTGCCTCTGCCTTCTATGCACCATACCCAGGTCACTTTTGGGTCTTGTCAATAGCCACCCTCGCTGGGCGAGACAGTATTGGACTAGTTGTCGTGTTCTATTGATTTGGTCATCACCACAGACCTGTGACATTCTCTTCCCCATTTCCCAGAAGCTGTCTACCCAGGCCAACATGGGGCAGATGCCGGGGTGGAGGGTGGGGGAATGGGCAGCTTCAGAGCTTGGGCTCCCAATCTTTCTGTCTCTTACAGAAAGTGACCCGCTCAGCTGTGTTGAAGCGCCATGGGGTTCAGGAGTGCATTCTGCTGGTGACTCAGCGGATCACCAAATATCCAGTGCTCATCAACCGGATCCTCCAGCATTCTCACGGTGAGGAAGAGCGTGGAAGGCAGGGCCTGCCTAGGGACGTCCAAGGGAAACAGCGGTGGGGCTGGGTGGGAGCTCTGAGCAGTCTCAGGTAGAATTGGGTTGGGATGGCACCAGTTACACCTTCTCTCATGCGGGACCTCCGGTGGCACCAGGGATTGAGGAAGAGCACCAAGACCTGACCGCAGCGCTAGGCCTGGTGAAGGAGCTGCTGTCCAATGTGGACCAGGACGTGCACGAGCTGGAGAAAGGGGCCCGCCTGCAGGAGATCTACAACCGAATGGACCCTCGGGCCCAGACCCCTGTGCCTGGCAAGGGCCCTTTCGGCCGAGAGGAGCTTCTGCGTCGAAAACTCATCCACGATGGCTGCCTGCTCTGGAAGACAGCCACAGGTCGCTTCAAAGGTCAGTGGCCCTCTTGGCAGACCTAGTAAGTCATAGTGAGGTAATCTGAGTGGAATTTGCAGCCACCATTGGGAACTATTTTTACAGCCTTTGGGGAAAGAAAGAGGTAACTGCATTTGACTGCATGGGCCAGCGGGGACTTCTTTATTTGGAATGCATTCATTGTTCTGGTCTGAAACACCTGTCCTAATCAAAGGGGCATAGAGACATGGATCAGAAGGATTCCTGCAGCCAGAGTGTGAACAGGGAGGTTGGAAGAGAGAGAGCAGACTACAGGACTGTGTTGCGGGGTCAGGGCGCTCTTCCACAGGCTCACTTATTAGAACTTACCTACACTGGTAAAGTCCTTGCACGCAAATAAGGACAAGAAAGTAGCAGCTCTAAACTTTGGTTTTAGAGGTGAAGGATGGGGGTACCCAAAGCCAGAGCCCATATGGAATTCCACCTGTGCTGTGAAATTCCTGCTCCTAGGCCTGGGTACTGTCGGCCTTTACCAGGCCTTTTCCTCCATCCATTTCTCTCCTTCCCATCCCTCCCACGCAGCAGCTAAGAATATAAAGCATTGAGGGTTAAAAATAGCAAGGCTGGGGAGCTCTATTTCTGAGCGATTAGCAAAAGCCCTTCCCCTTCTGTGTCCACAGCTTAGTAAAATCCCCACAGGCGAAGGGTGACTGTGTATTCTTGACTACAGCATTCAGGTCTTTACAGACTCGGTCTTTGGTTCCTCCCTTCCTCTGAGTGCAGGACCCAGAGGATCTGAGAACCTGGAAGTGGGGCAGAAGAAAGTGAAGCAGGGCTTGCTGGGGTTTGAGATGAGATTAGTCAAAGGTGATGGGCGACGGATGGCCTTTCAGTCCTGCTTTATTGGAGGGAAACTAGCTGTGTCCCTTTCCTGTGTAAAAAGTAAGAAGCAGGACTATGTCAGCTCATTAGAATACCTAAAAAGGGGGCCTAGGGAGATGGCTCAGTGGTTAAGAGCAGTGGCTGCTCTTCCAGAGAACCTGGGTTTAGTTTCCTGCACCCACACAGCAGCTAACAACTATTTGTACATCTAGTTCCAGGGGATCCACCATCTTCATACAGACATACATGCGGGCAAAAACACCAATGTACATAAAATAAAAATGAATAAATTTTGCCAGGCGGTGGTAGTGCATGCCTTTAGCAATTGGGAGGCAGAGGCAGGTGGATCTCTGTGAGTTTGAGACCAGCCTGGTCTCAAAGTGAGTTCTAGGACAACTGGAAATACAGAGAAACCCTGTTTCAAAAAGCCAATAAACAAACAAACAATAAACAAATAAATAAATATAGAGTAATACCTAAAAAGTTTCTGCATTAGTCAGATGCTGGACATGGGGATTAAAAGCTTACAACACAACCCTTCTTCTTCCGGGAATCCTACAACTGTGCACACTTTTAATCCCAGCACTCTGGAGACAGAGGCCAGCCTGGTCTACAGAGTGAGTTCCAGGACAGCCAAGATTACCTTGTCTTGAAAACACACACACACAAAGGGAGAGAGAGAGAGAGAGAGAGAGAGAGAGAGAGAGAGAGAGAGAGAGAGAGAAAATGAGAAGGTCTTAGGTCACAAAAGATGAAGGAAATAACTGGAGGGAATAGAAACCAGGAGGATGCTGGGAAACACCACCTGATAGGTGGACCAGGTCCTCAGGGAGGAGGATGCTGGGAAACACCACCTGATAAGGTGAACCTGGTCCTCAGGGAGGAGGCAAACAGTTGCTTTGAGCCTTTAGTGCTGACCATTTCCCAACTTTGTATCTTGGCCAGATGTGCTGATGCTGCTGATGACAGATGTGCTCGTGTTTCTCCAGGAAAAGGACCAGAAGTACATCTTTCCTGCCCTGGTGAGCTTTCCTTCTGTTCTCTCACCCATTGCTCTTCTTACCAGGCCTGGGAAAGACTTACGGAGTCAATTGCCTGTTAGAGCTGTTAGTTCTGTATAATAAAAAGTAAGAGGAGCTCCCAGGTATTACCACTGTACATAGGCATGCTTGCCCTGTGGAGAAAGACCATCATTAGCATCATTTTGTAGATGATGAAGATAAAATTTAGAAGCCAGGTACAGTGGTACATGCCTATAATAGCAGTACTTGGGAGTCAGAGACAGGGCGATCAGGAGTTTAAGGTCATCCTCAGCCACATGGTGAGCTCAAGTCTAGCTTAAACTGTATGAGACCACCCTTAAAATAAATTAAATAAATAAATAAATAAATAAATGAGCTCCATCATGGAATGGTAGAGCACACCTTTAATCCCAGCGCTTGGTAGCCAGAGGCAGGTAGATTTCTGAGTTGAAGCCTAGCTTAGTCTACGTAGCACGTTCCGAGCCAGTCAAGGGTCACATAGTGAGACCCTCCTGTCTTAAAAAACCAAAACAACAACAAAAAAGGCAAAGCGGGCGGAAGCCTATAATCCCAGTACTGGGAAAGCAGAGGCATGAAGAGTGCCACTGTGAGGGCATCCTCGGCTACATAGTTCAACACCAGTTTAGGTTACATACTGAGCCCCGGGAGGGGGGGCGAGAGGGGGGGGTGGACAGGAGAGGAGAGAATCAAGGGTCTCCCATGCACTAACTCTTGGCTGGTACTGATGCCTGGGCTCTTGTACATACAGCATCATCTTCAATCCTTTTGGTATTCTAGGACTGAACACCGAGACACTAAGGGTTAGGATTCCTCGTCTTAATTCTTCTTTTTCCCTGATAGGACAAGCCCTCGGTGGTATCCTTACAGAATCTGATCGTAAGAGACATTGCCAACCAGGCGAAAGGGATGTTTTTGATTAGTGCCGCCCCGCCCGAGATGTATGAGGTGCACACAGCGTCCCGAGATGACCGTAGTACCTGGATCCGTGTCATTCAGCAGAGCGTGCGCGTGTGAGTGTGTGCCTGCTGCCTGTGTGTACATATGGCCTCAGGTCCTAGGCAGAACACTCCCTGGGAACAGAAGCCATGGCCAGAGGCTGGGGCAGAGGCTGGAGAAAGACAAGATGAACCAAGATAGAAAGATACGTGAAGTTACAGTTTATGCTCGGACAACCCTGCCACCCCTCATAGTATTCTGAGCCGGCAAGTGGTTATGTAGCGCTCTTACATGGTGGCGTACCTACCAGCCACTGATGATGTCAGCCGCACTGACATCACTGGCAATAGGAAGAAGGCTCTTAATTGGGTTGTTGCATTTTATCTTTACTTTCTACACATGAAAGAATAGGATAATTGAAGCATTGATACTAATGCATTGACTACGGTTTATCCATAAACTCCACACAGTAGATGCCAGACGTAAATCTGTTGTGCTAAAGCAGAAACCCTGAGGGCAGCCACTGGAGCGTCCACTTGCAATGGAGAAAAAGTATAAGCTCAGGCAGAAAATGTTGAGAAGAGCCTGGTGTGGCATGAGCGCCTAAACCCCAGTTCCTGGGAAGTGGGGGCAGAAACGCTCCGAGTTAAAGACCAGCCTCGGCGCCTAAGAAGTCCAGGACCAGCTTGGGCTGAGGTCTTAACGAAACTGCCACAGAGTCAGTGATGTAGCCGAACTGATAGAGTTCTCAACCTAACATTCAGGAAGCCCTGGGTTCTGTCCCCAGCACCACATAAATCAGGTGTGGGGACCTGCAGAGCCCCAGAAGCTAGAAACACTACTAACAACAAAGAGTTGACTAAATGAGTTCTTAAAGACTACAGAATGAACTTTTTTTTTTTTTAAGTTAGAGATTGAATGTGGGACCTTGTGTGTGCTAGGCCCAGAGCCGCATCCTCAGCGTAGGCTTTTTATGACCTTTACAAGCTGTACGGGTAGTAGACAGTGACAGGTTGGGGAAATGGGTTTAAAGAGTGAATAAAGCCACAGTGAGAGGAAGCATCTCTCTCGAAGGGGGTCCCGTAGAATGTGTGCAAAGGAGGGGAGGCTGCTTCCTGGGGTCTCCCACACACTCAGCCTGTCCCTTTGTCGTTCTGCAGATGCCCATCTAGGGAGGACTTCCCTCTGATCGAGACGGAGGATGAGGCCTACCTGCGGAGGATTAAGAGTAAGTTCCCTCCAGGGAGGGCATTGATTTATGGCATATCCATACAAAATACTATGCAACTCTGGAAAAGAGGAGAGACAGGCTGACCGGGTGGCTCAGAGGTTAGAAGCACTGACATCTTGTTTCAGAGGACCCAGGTTCGGTTCTCAGTACCCACTTAGTGACTTATAATTGTCTGTAACTCCTGTTCCAAGACCTAATGACTTCTGGCCACTTTGGTCACGTGCGTGGTGCACATGTGTACATGCAGGCAAAACTCTTATACACATAAAATAAAAATAAATAAATCTTAGGAAAAAAATAAAACCTTCATGTGGGCTGATAGAGGTCTAAGGTTTAAAACAATATGAAGTGTATGCTACGTCTTGTGAGATTAGTGCAATAGATATATAAAATATAAAATCTTGCTGGGCGGCGGCGGTGGTGCGTGCCTTTAATCCCAGCACTCGGGAGGCAGAGCCAGGTGGATCTCTGTGAGTTTGAGGCCAGCCTGGTCTGTAGAGTGAGATCCAAGACAGGCACCAAAACTACACAGAGAAACCCTGTCTCGAAAAACCGAAATAAATATAAAATAAAATAAAATCTAATATCGATATGTCCCAAGGGCATCTAGTGCCCTCTTCTGGCCTGTGAGGGCACTGCATGCACATGGTGCATAGACGTACGTGCAGGCAAAACACCCATGTGCATAAAAATAAAGGTTAATGCCAGGCTTGGTGGTGCACACTTTCAGTCCCAGCACTTGGGTGACAGAGTCAGGTGGATCTCTGAGTTCGAGGTTAGACTGGTCTACAAATTGAGTTCCAGGACTATCAGGGTTATTATACACAGAGAAACCCTGTCTCAGAAACAAACAGAAACACCCGAACAAGAACAACAAAAGCAAGGCTAAACAATTTTTTTTTTTTTAAATGAGAACACACTTGATACCCCAGCCTGTGGAAAGTAGTGCTAAGGCCAGGTTGTTTTAGCTCCGTTTCCATTGCTGCAGTAAAACACCGTGACCAAGGCAATTCAAAGAAAGGATTTCTTTGGGGATTACAGTTCCAGAGCGCTAGGGTTCATGATGGTGGGAACAGCAGGTGCCAGACAAGACAGCTGCACCAGCTGAGAATTTGAGTCTTTTGAAACTCCAGAGCCTGCCTCCAGTGACATGCTTCTTCCAGCAAGGCTCCACCTCCCAACCCTGCCCAAGGAGCCACCAACTGGGGACTAAGTAATCAGATTCCCAAGCCTTGTGGAGAACAACTCATTCAAACCACCACAGAGGTCATCCTCAACTATATGTGGAGTCTGAGGCCAGCCTTAGCTACATGAGGTCTTGTCTCAAAAAAAAACAAAGGCCCGAAGTTAGTCATGTAGCTTTGTCGAACTGCCAGTCACTCTGGGACGCACACTTGCTTAGGGGGCAGGGAGCAGGCGGCCTAATGAAACTTCTCCATGTGCTCTAGAGGAGCATGGAAAGAATGACATGGGCAGCCAGACCCCTGATTCACAGATTTGGTTGTTTTAGTTTATTTTTTTTTTCTTCCCCCGAAACAGGGTTTCTCTGTGTAGCCCTGGCTGTCCTGGAACTCCCTCTGTAGACCAGGCTGGCCTCGAACTCACAGAGATCCTCCTGCCTCTGCCTCCCGAGTGCTGGGATTAAAGGCGTGCGCCACCACCGCTGTGCTACTCACAATTTTTTTTTCCTGAAACTATTCACAGATTTTTATAAACAAAGTAACAATGATTTACACCACACACACAAAGGTTTTTGGGGGGCAGGGAGTCGAGAGGATGCTCCAAGCCCAAAATTAAGTCCTGCCCCTCTGCCCATGCTGCCCCTCCACGGGCTCTTTGGGTCCTGGGCCTTTCCTTCCACACTTACCTGTTCCCGTCCACAGTGGAGCTTCAGCAGAAGGACCGGGCGCTGGTGGAGCTGCTACAGGAGAAGGTTGGGCTGTTTGCTGAGATGACCCACTTCCAGGCAGAAGAAGATGGTGTTAGTGGGAGGCCCCTGCCCGCCCTGCCCAGGGGCCTCTTCCGTTCTGAGTCCCTTGAGTCTCCTCGAGGCGAGCGGCTATTGCGAGATGCCATCCGTGAAGGTGAGGGCTCTCCCGCTGAGGAGTCGAGGCTCTTCCCTCAGCAGCACAGAACGAGGCCCAGAAAGGCCCCTGAGGGTTTGTCCTGGTCCAGTTCCTGGGAAGAGCAGGGAAGAGATCCGACCTGCTGTTGGCTGCCTCTCCGTCTGGCAGGCTCTGCTGGCCCCTTGGGCATCTTGGATGTCCCTTGGATGCCACGTGACTGACTGAAAACCCCCCGCTACCCAGCTGTGGACTCCCTACATACTCAGTGGTCAGTGTGCTTTGTCTCCTGACCCCACCTCCTCCTCTTTCCTTTCAGTGGAAAGTCTGAAAGACTTACTGGTGGGCCCTGGTGCTGACCTGCTTTTGACACCCCGAGAACCAGCTTTACCTTTGGAATCTGAGGGTGGTAACACCAGTCCTGGGGTCACTGCCAGTGAGTACAGGGACCTGAAAGCAAGGTGGGCGTGACTAGAGAAGGGAGGGGGTTACAGGTCGCTGAGGAAGTAAGTGTACTCTGCTCCTCCCCCTCCTCTCTTCTGCAACAGATGGAGAGGCCAGAACCTTCAATGGCTCCATTGAGCTCTGTAGAGCAGACTCTGATTCCAGCCAAAAGGTGGGTTGTTGCGGGAACTGGGGAGTGGCCAGAGGAAGGGCACAGCTGGCCTGTGGATCTTCAATAGAAAGTTGCTGGGGACGGCCCCCAGGTCTGTCTGTGCCTGCTGACTCCATCCTTGTCCATTTCTACAGGATCGGAACGGAAATCAGTTGAGGTCACCCCAGGAGGTGAGATGGGAATTCTGTGGTAGAGGAGATTAAGGGAAGATGCTCTCTATCTGAGAAATCATAGCCCAGTTTAGGTGATTTGGGGGGGCGGGCATCTGTCCCTGTGTTTCTATGTACGTCTCTGGACGTTGTTTCCACACCCTCTTTTTTTTTTTTTTAAGATTTATTTATTATGTATACAGTGTTCTGCCTGCACATATCCCAGCAGGCCAGAAGAGGGCACCATATCTCATTACAGATGGTTGTGAACCATCATGTGGTTGCTGGAAATTGAACTCTGGACCTTTAGAAAGAGCAAGCAGTGCTCTTAACCTCTGAGCCATCTCTCCTGCCCCCTTCCACACCCTCTTGATGACTGCCGGGCACTTATCTCATCCTAAGCTTGGGCACTAATCATCCATCCTTTGCTCTGTCCACAGGAGGCCTTACAGCGATTGGTCAATCTCTATGGACTTCTACATGGCCTTCAGGTCAGTGAGCAAGGGCTGGATTGGGGAAGAAGGGGAGGAGTCAGCCAGAGGTGTCCATGTAGGTGACAGGCATCCTAACAGGCCTCTGTCCTCCCCCAAACCAAGCTCTCTGGGTGCCCAGGATTGAGGGAGAGAGGTCGGTGGAACTAGCTTCTGAAACACCTTTTGGCCTCATCCCACCCTCAGGCTGCTGTCGCTCAGCAGGACACTTTGATGGAAGCCCGATTCCCTGAGGGTCCTGAACGGTGGGAAAAGCTATCTCGAGCCAACTCTCGGGACGGTGACGCCGGCCACGCCGGCCGGGCTGTGGCTGCTCCTGTGGCTCCCGAGAAGCAGGCCACAGAGCTGGCCCTGTTGCAGCGGCAACACACCCTGCTTCAGGAAGAGCTGCGGCGCTGCCGGCGCCTGGGGGAGGAGAGGGCCACTGAAGCCGGCAGCCTGGAGGCCCGGCTCCGAGAGAGCGAGCAAGCCCGGGCCCTCCTGGAGCGGGAGGCTGAGGAGGCCCGCCGACAGCTGGCAGCCTTGGGCCAAAATGAGCCACTTCCAGCGGAGGCCCCCTGGGCACGCAGGCCCCTGGACCCTCGGCGCCGCAGCCTTCCAGCAGGCGATGCTCTGTATTTGAGCTTCAATCCCCCTCAGGTAAGGCTGCCCGGAGCAGTGGAGTGACTCTCATGAACATAAGACCCTGCAGAACCTGAGGGACACTTAGTTGTTGGGGATTTCACCCCAAGTGACAGCAGACAACAGACTGGAATGACTCTACTAGCTGGGCTGTGGGAATGTCTCAGTTGGTAAAATGCTTGCCGTACATGGGAACCTTTGTTCAAAGCCTGATGGTGCCAGCTCACGATCCCAGTGAAGGGGAGGCAGAGCCAAGTTCATCCTCTCAGCTCTCCGGCTAACCAGCCTAGTCTCTTTGATGATTTCCAAGCCAATAGTAGACCTGTCTCATAAAACAAGGTGAATTACTCTTAAGGCATGACCCCTGAGGTAGACCTCTGGCTTCCTCCGTATACAGGAGTGCCCACCCATTCAGACAAAAACATACTCGTTAAACTGCAAAGACATTTAAGGCAAGTTCAGGGGCAAAGGCTTATGCAGATCTGCAGCACTTCCAACAAACAAATATGCTCTGTTCTCCGAAGATTTCCGCTGGTAGTCTACGTGGGGCACTGTGGGCATTATTATACCTGGAGTCCTTGCATGTGAAGGCTGAGGCTGGAGAACCAGCTGGGCCCAGCAGATAGAGATAGAGATGGGTGTTGGAGGCAAATAATACGGCGGTTATCTCATTGAGAGGAGAACCAGTTGGTGGTGGATCTACTGATGGGGGGTCATTGGTGAACCTCAAGAGATGAGGTGTGTTGGGGGCCCTGGGCTCGCTGCCCCTGCCCACCAGTGCCTGCCGTCTTCACACAGCTCATCCCCTGGACTTGTGCTTCTGTGTTCCATAGCCCAGTCGAGGCCATGATCGCCTGGACTTGCCTGTGACTGTTCGTTCCCTCCACCGACCCTTCGAAGACCGAGAGAGGCAGGAGCTTGGTAGCCCCGAGGAGCGGCTGCAGGACAGCAGTGACCCTGACACTGGCAGTGAGGAGGAGGGCAGTAGCCGCTTGTCTCCACCCCACAGTCCACGAGGTGAGACTTAGTGGGGTTGTGGGGTCTGCGTCCAAGCCCTTGGGACTGTGGCTTCTGAACGTACTCTTACGTGACTCCTGAGGTTCAGTGATTCTGGGACATCCTGGGAAGGCTTCCTGCTCTGTGTGATGACAAGTGGGTGGTAGAACTCTTTTTTTGTTGTTGTTGTTGGTTTGTTTTTTTTGTTTTTCGAGACAGGGTTTCTCTGTGTAGCTCTGGCTGTCCTGGAACTTCCTCTGTAGACCAGGCTGGCCTCAAATTCAGAGATGCACCTGCTTCTGCCTCCCAAGTACTGGGATCAAAGGCATGCACCATCATCACCCAGGGTAGTAAAACTCTTTCAAGAAGCAGTTCTTCCAGCCGGGCAGTGGTGGCGCACGCCTTTAATCCCAGCACTTGGGAAGCACAGGCAGGCGGATCTCTGTGAGTTCGAGGCCAGCCTGTTCTACAAAGCGAGTTCCAGGACAGGACAGCCAGGACTGTCATACAGAGAAAGCCTGTCTCGAAAAACCAAACAAGAAGCAGTTTTTCCAATTGGCTGGTAACTCTCAACCTTACAAATAGAAATCCATTTTACAGTAAGTCGGTTTAAAGACTGCCACATCCTAATGGTAAGGAAACATGAAACAGTCGAATAGAGTTTCACGTTAGAATGGTGGCTTTGCTGCCCAGGGGTCGACCCACCGGGGTGCTCAGAGGCCCCACCCCCCACCCACGTCTGCGTAGGGGCCTTTTTGTGAGTGTGAGCTACTCCTTGTGGGAGGTCCTGCTCACTCATCACCTCCACCCTGTCTGTCACCCTCCAGACTTCACCCGAATGCAGGACATCCCTGAGGAGACAGAAAGCCGAGACGGCGAGCCTACGGCTTCAGACAGCTAAGGGGACCCCACCCCCTTCCTGGTGCCCCACTGAAGAAGAGTAAAGGGGGCAAACCTTGGGAACTCCATCTGCCAATAATGAGGGGATCTTGAAAGAACTGCTGACTGTCCTTACCAGCTCCTGGGATCCTTGGATACCTGGGGCCACGTGGGACTGGGGATTTAGAGGCCACAGCACCCCTGGTGGCATCCAAGAGCTACACCACAGATGCCAATTTTTCATGCCTTCTTCCCTCTACTTAGGAAAAATTATTTATTTATTGTTTATTGGTTGTGGGGGGAGGGTGAGATTTTAAGGACCAGGGACATGGGAACCAAGCCATAGGGACCAGAGGGCCCTTCCTTCAGCACCACTGGGGTATGCTTAGGCTCAGCCACACCGCTGTTGGCTCCAGCCTGACACGCACTCCAGCGATACCCATCTGTGGCCACAGAACCTACTGCCCCTTTGAGGAGGGCTGTGGGTAGGATCGTGTCCCTTGCCCCACTCTCCTCAGCCTCCTCCTGCTGTTCTTCCTTCTCTTCATCCTCCATGGAAACTGGCTCCTTGGAGTTGATGGAGTGGAGGCTAGGGTGGCCATGATGTATTGGGGTAGGGGAGGAAAAACCCACAGGGACCAGAATGTTTTGGTTTTGTTTTCTTTTCTTTTTTGTACCAAAGCCAACTGCACGTGTTTTATATTTTTAAAAGAAGATTGTAGGCACTTCTAGCTCCATGTCTTTGAACTTGAGGAGTTGGGGAGACGGTGACTTCTTTCACCTACATTCAGGGGGCTCCTATTCGGAATTCTTCCTCAGCCATTTGAAAGAAGCTCCGAGGTGGGTTGGGAAACCTCTACGAACCCTCACCTCATCTCCCACTATGGCAACTACGGTTGAAATGTAAGCAAGACTGGGGGGAGGGGTTGAATGCAACCCTAATACCGACCAGCAATAGCCATTTGTCTGCCGATTTGTTAAAAAAAAAAAAAAAAAAAAACAAGACAGAGACAGAGCAACAAAGAGAGCAAAGGCCCGAGCAGGGAAACATTAAAGACCTGAAATGCATGAGGTGCTGTCTCAATGGCCCATTCTGAGGATTGCGGTGCCTGCAGCCAGGCAGTGACCACGGGTTTCTGTGAAGGGGCTGCCACTACCTCACTGAAGAGGGCACGGAAAAAAAAAAAAAAAAAAAACAACTGCCCAAACCCTTGTTAAAAGTCTCAGAATTACAAGGATGGATGGAAATGAAGTAGCACTCAGGCTCTCCAATATTAGAAAGGCCATTTGCATCTCATTTGTATGCTGTGCTTGGAGAGCACATCTGGCTCCCGCCACCCCTCTTGTTCCTGCCCCCTCCTCCCTGTGGTTCGTTCCCACAGTGTCAGAGCCCAGGGCTGAGTTCTCAGAGGAGCAGCCTGTGCACGCTGCCCAGTGGAAAGGCAGTAACTGGTTTCAGTTCTTGGTTTTCGCTCATCCCGCTTCCTGTTTCTAGGCCCCACACTTTGGCCACGGGGCAGGGTCAGTGCATGCACACCCCCACGGCCTGTGAGGTAGGGTGAGGAGAAGGGTCTCAGGACCCCGACGAAAAAGGAGAATTGAAATTGCATGGGCAGCAGGCTTTGAGGAGCTACCAGCACCCTCCCCGCTGTCAGCCTCTGGCCCTCCTGAGGCCCTTTCTATCCAATCACGGGATTCTTGGGCCGTAGGAATGGTTTTATATATTTATTTATTTACTTTATTATTATTTTTGAGAGAAGGTCTCGCAGTGAAGCCCAGGCTGGCCTTGGACTCACATCATCCCCCTTGCCTCAGCCTCCCAAATGTTGGAATTACAGGCATGAGCCAGTATGCCCAGCCTCTGGTGTTTTTCTTTTACACAATGGGTGCAAAAAGTTGCCAGGCCAAGAAGCCAGCCCTCAGCTCCCTCTGCTCTGTCCCTCTGCCTTACCAGCAGCCGCATACAGTTTCAAGCATTCTGATGGCTCAGTAGCCGTGTTCCGGGCAGCACTAAGCAGGCAAAGGGCAAGTAGAAGAGACTGTGGTAGAGTCAGGGAAAGAAAAGGAATACCGTTTCCCAACATTCTCCAGAGGGCCCAGGGGAAAAACCTAGACCCTGGAAACTGAGTCCCAGAGTGAGTTCCAAGAAGCTGGGTTGCTTCGGCTGCCTTATTACCATAATTCCATCTCATCATCAGCCCAGAGCCAGTCCCACCCTCCTGTCATCATCGGTCCCTAGGTCTTCCCCCTCCCTAACCCTGCTCTTAATTGCTGTCTCCTCTGCTGCCATTTCAAACCTCTGTGACAATGTGTTCTGGCAGCCAGGGGTCAGCTCCTTGCCTAAACCATACTGCCCCCTTCGAGGAGGCTCCAAGCCTGGGTACTCAGCTCTCCATCACCACACCCTTCTTTCCTCCATCCTGCTCCATCAAAAGTAGGGCTACACGCAGTTAGTTGAGTTAGTTTTGTCAATATTTATCCCCGGGGATCTGTAAAGCAGATGCCCCCAGAGAAGGCAATATCCGGCCCAGCCAGGCCATTAGAGGCACTGCTGGGACAGGAGGAAGAATGCTTAGGTAGGGGAGGATTTCCCACCTTCCTGAATGGCTAGGAATAGACCTGGCATTTTGGAGCCAGTTTAAACATTATCAAAAAGAGGAAATTAAACATCAAGAGGCTAATTAAACCTCGTTCCCATCCTTTAATATGTTGTGAGTTGGGCGACTCTTCAAAGCTTCTGGGTAACCGGGTGGAACAGGCAGTGGCGCCTGGAGGTATTGTGGCTTCCCCTCCACAGGGTGCTGCCATTCTGGGGTTTGGAGTGGCTGGTCATATCCTGGTTATAAAGCATCCCCAGAGCCTAGTCCTGAAGGGAGCAGACGGAGTAGGACCTCCATCCATCTGCTGCTTCCCCTTCATTCCGGAAGCAGCCCCCAGCAAGATTCTTCGTGATGAACGATTTAGGTCATTACGGTTTTCAATGAAGATGGAAGCAAAGGGGACCCTGTGCTCAGAGGACACTTGGAAAGGGGGCTTTGAAGGACTAACCCTTTAGTTAGTGTCTGTCTCTTCGAAGAGCTTGATGTTGGTTTCATCCTTGACTGCTCTTCACCTGGATTTCTGAGTATGTCACTGAAGCTTGCTGATTTGGCTAGAGTGGCCAGTGAGTCTCAGGGATTCTCCCGTCTTCCTCCTGCCCAGGACCACTGTGTCCGGTGTGTTTTTACATTGGCTGCTAGATCCTGAACTGAAGTCAGGGACTCAGCACATTTGCTCCAAACACTACCCACAGCTCTCTCCCTGTGTTTGCTTTGGTTATTGTTTCTAATTTTAGGAAGTGGTCGTGTGTGTGGTGATGTGCATGTCAGAGCACATGTGTGAAAATTAAGAGAACAACTGCGCATACGTGGGCCTCTCGGTCCACCTTTATGTGGACTTGGCAGTTCAACCCAGGCTGCCAGGCTTGTGTGCCGAGTATTTTCCCTGCTGTGCCATCTTGCTTCCCCTTTAAAAATTATTTTATTCTGTATGTGTGTCGATGGTGTGCATGTGTGGGTATGCATGACCAGATCTTTTTTTATGTGAGACTTTCATTATACTCCACACACCAGGACATGTAAAATAATAGACCAGACCTGGACGGCTCCCCCATGCCTGTCTCTCAGCGGTCCTTATTTCCTCCTTTCCATTTTACATGGAAGATGCCAGCAATAGTCACAATAATATGCAAATAATAGTGAATCCTCACTAGCCTCTCACCTTTGAGATAGTCTCCTGCCGGAGCGGGTCCTGGACTCTTCGTGTAGTTTAGGAAGATCTTGAACTTAAGGGATTAGACAAGCACTCCATCAACTGAGATACATTCCCAGCCTCTAGAAAACTGAAAGAAAGCTGGGCATGGCAGCACCCATCTATAACCGCAATACTTGGGAGGGAAAGACAAGAGAATCAGGAGTTCAAGGCCAGCGTTGGCTACATATTGAGTTGGAGTCCAATCTGAGCCACTGCGCGCACACATGCACATACGTGCACACACATAGGGCTGCATTGAATAGATGGCTCAATATAATACTTGCTATACAGCCATGAGGACCTGAGTATGGTCCCTGGCACTCACATAAAAACCAGGTATAGCAGCAGCTGAATCTGACTGCTCAGCCAGTCAGGCCAATAGCTCAGCTTCAAGGTCATTGAGAGACCCTTTCTCAAAAGTGGAACGGGGCTGGAGAGCTAGCTTGGCAGTCAAGAGTGCTTCCTGATCTTCCACAGGACCTGAATCTGGTTCCTAGCACCCCATACTGTGACACACACCTTTAATCTCAATACTCAGGAGACAGTGGATCTCTGAATTCAGAGTCAGCCTGGTCTACAGAGTAATTTCCAGCACAGCCATGGCCACATAGAGAAACCTTGTCTCTAAAGAAAAGCATGTGGAGGGTTTAGAAAATTACTTGAACTGATGGAGAGAACTCAGAGGTTAAGAGCACTGGCTGCTCTTCCATAGGATCCGGGTTCAATTCCCAGCACCAATATGGCAGCTCACAGCTGTCTGTAACTCCAGTTCCAGGAGATCTGACACCCTCACACAGACACATATGCAGGCAAAACACCAATGCACATAAGCTAAAAATAAATTATATATTAAAAAAGAAAACAAAACAAAAACCAACAAATTAATATTCGTGCAGGCACACACAAAAACCAAAAACAAAATACTTCAACAGGTAGAAGTCCTTGCCACCAAGCTTGATAATCTAAACTCAATCCCTGAATCTCAGATGGTAGAAAGAGAGACCAGACTCTTTGCTGTCCTCTGCTTTCATGAGTGAGTAGCACGTCTTCTTGCCCCACCAAGTGTAATTTTTCAAAGAACAAGGTGTGGTGGCACATGCCGGTAATCCCAGCCCTTGGGAAGCAGAGGCAGGTGGATCTCTGGTCTACATAGTGAGTTCCAGGTCAGTAGGGCTACATAGTATGACCCTGTCTTTGAGACAGAGACAGAGACAGAGACACAGAGAGATAAGTTGAAGAAGAAACCTTACATCTGCCTCTGGCATCCACATATGCAAGTGTCAACACACAAATGCACACACACACAAAGGGAGAAAAAGGAGGCAAGAATAAGCTGAACTAAAAAGGCTAAACGTAGCTGGGTGGTGGTGGCACACATCTTTGATCCCAGCACTTGGGAGGTAGAGGCAGATGGATCTCTGTGACTTTGAGGCCAACCTGATCTACGGTGAGTTCAAGGGCAGCCAGGGCTGTTGTACAGACAAACCCTGCCTTGGAAAGCAAAACAAAACCAAAAAAGCTAAATGTGTTGGCCCATGCCTATAATTTTAGCATTTGGGATCAAAATTAGAGTTCAAAGCTGCCCTCAGCTACATAGTTTGAGGCCAGCCTGAGTCACATGTGACCCTGTCTCCAATATAAAAAAAAAAAAGAAAACTGATGTACAGAGGTGATTTGCCTGAGGGGAAGGTTCACACCCACGAGCTCTGGCACGCTACTGGGAGTAACTAGCCTCTGGTTTCTGATTCTTGGGTCTGATCCTCCTGACCTCCTCCGCACCTCTCACCTCTGTCCACCTCACCATGGCTTTCCCTTCTAATCATCTCCCTTCAATCCTTGATAGGAGGAGACAGGTCTATTCACTGTTCTCACCAGGCTACACATCCAGTACCTCCTGACAGGTCCTGGAGAGTCCAGCAAGCCCCACCCTGGCATCTTCCTGCAGCAAAAGGGAGGCTCTGCATCCTTTCTGTGGGTACATCTGAGTGGCCAGAGAAGGCATTTTTGGTTTTGGTACCAAAGAGGCATGATGGATACCCTGTTCTGAAGGGAGTGGGACAGGGAGAACCGATTTCTGACCTGTTAGTCTAGACCCCATACAGGAAGTTACGCTGTGCTGTACTGGCATGAAAGGTCAAGACAGTCTGTGGATAATCCAGAGTTTTATTCTGTTTCTCTCTGCCATCTCTAGAGACAAGCTTTGCCACGCCCACCTTTGCCTGGGCTCCAGCTTCTAGGTCCTGACCAGAGCTGATGATCAAAGATCAGACTTCTCCTGGGGACCCTGCAGCCTGGCAGAGAGAGCAGCTTCTCCCCAGAACCTGTGGGTTGTGCCCCCGGTAGATCTCAGAGAAGGGAGTGTCCAGGTTGCATCCTTCATCCAGGTGTCCCTTTGTGTTTCTGCGTGTTGTAGAAGGGCCACTCTCCTGGGTGCTGGCTACCCATCTCCCACCTACCTCCTTGAGGGCCACTTGCTCCACACAGGCCTTGCTCTGGGGCCACAGTCTTGACCAAAGATCCCTGAAGGAGCTGACCAGAACCTGCCGAGGTTTGCGCCGGAGGAGACAGTAGAGCACAGGGTTGAGGCAGCTGTTGCTGTGTGCCAAGCAGGTGGTGACAGGAAAGACGTAAGTATGGATGATGTAGAAAGTGCTGTCCCAGGGCACCAGGTCAAACTTGACCAGAATACCCCAGAGAGTGACCACATGGTTGGGAAGCCAGCAGAGGATGAAGGAAGCCACCAGGATCCGGACAGAGCGGGCCACCACTTGGCTGTCCTGCCACTGTCGGGGCCTGCATCGCGGCTGACGCTGTAGAAAGGCCAGCAGCAGCAGGTAGCTGGTGGTGATGACGCCCAAGGGCACAATGAAGGCCAGAACTACCCTCTGTAGCTGGTATGCCCCCAGCCAGTATTTGCTGGGGAAACGCAGAAGGCAGAGGCGCACGCCCCACAACTCACCCTCGGCCCCAAAGATTGCTGTGGGTACAGTCACCAGGGCGGCTGCCACCCACACTGCCAGGGTGACCACACGGGCCCAGAAGACAGAGAGGTGACTGCCTGGTCCCACAGCCATGGCCACCACCCAGTATCTGGCCACACTCAGCGCGGTGATGAGGAAGATGCTGGCATAGATGCTGAGGACAGTGGTCGTCAGGACTATCTTGCAGAGGGTACTTCCGAAAGGCCAGTGGAAGTCCAGTGCTGACTCAGTTGCCCAGAAAGGGAGAGTGAGGGCCAGCCCCAGGTCTGCCAGAGCCAGGCTGAAGACAAAGGTGTCAGAAGGTGGGCCAGGCGCACGCTGAGCACAGTTACTTAGCACCCACAGTACAGCCAAATTTCCCAGCAAGCCGATGATACCTACAAGTCCATAGGCCAGGGCAACTATGATCCTCAGAGCAAGGAACTGGACGGGCATTGCGGCACCATCAGTATTCAGCACGCTGTCTCCAGAGCCATTGACCCAGAAGAGGGTGGGCAGAGAGGCAGAAGAATTGGATGTGGCCATCACAAGGCATCGGAGGTTGCTGGAGCAGAGCAGGGGAGCCAGCGAGTGTCTCTCTGCTGGACTGGCAGGCGCCACAGCAGTCTCGGCAGGAGAGCAGAAGGACCTGGAATCTGGGTGTTGGTCTGGAGCTTTAAGGTGCAGGAGCCCCTGCCCATGCTCACACCTAAGAGGGAGGGGTGTGGGTAGAACAGCCTACCTCTTCCCTGTTGGACAACAGTGCTGGGTGGGGCGGCACAAGGGACGGACATTTCCACTCTGCAAATATGTGTATAACAGAGGAAAAGGGAGAAACTAGAGACGTCTGGAGTGACAAGCAAACCAGGAGTCCCTGTACTCTGAGCAGGGTGCAGAGAGCCCTCTGCTGAAAGAAGAGGAATATGGGGATAGAGAGGCAGAATGGAAGTCAGGGAGAGGAACAAACGTGCCTCATGCCCCACAGCTACTGTGCCTTTAAGTGAGTTGTGTTAACTCTCCCGAGTGTGTTTCTTTAAGCGTTGGTGAGCAGATACTGGCTCCATGGGTAAAGGGCGTGCTGCTAAGCCTGATGACTTCAATCTCCAGGATCCACACAGAGAAACTGACACAAACTGCCCTTTGACCTCCACACTCATGCTGTAGCCTCTGTGTGTGTGTGTGTGTGTGTCAAATGTTAAACATATACAAAAAAAAAATTCAGTGGGGTGGCAAGTGCCCATGGTCACTGCTATCTGCAAGGCGACTGTATCACCTGAGCCCAGGACTTGAAGGCCAACCTTCACAATATACCAAGACATGATCTCAGAAAACTAAGTAGGGCCACGGAGATGGTTCAGTGGGTAGAGGCCCTTGTTGCACAAGGCTGCTGAGCTGCGTTTAGTCCCTGGACCCTACATGAAGGTGGAAGAGCGGACACCACAGACTTCTCTGGTGACCTTCATACATGCCCAGTGGTATGCAGCCCCCAACACTACTAAATTAAAAACATAAGAGGAAATGATTTAAAGACCAGGTTTGACAGTGTGCTGACTCTACATAACAAGTTCCAGGCCAGCCAGGGTCACATGGTGAGACCCTGTCTCCAAACTATAAAAAAAACCCAAACAGGTTTTGGACTTGATGAAGGAGCCTGCTTGCCCAGTCTGACAGCTTGAACTGGGTCCCCAGGACCCACATGGTGGAGGGAGAGAAGAGACCCCTGAAAGCTCTCCTCTGACATTAGCATGCATTCAGTAACACGCTGCACATCCATGCCCATGTATGCAAATAAATACTATTTAAATATTTTTTGTAAATTGGGGCTAGAGATGCCTCAGTAGTTAGAAGTATTTGTTGCTCTTGAAGAAGACCTGAGTTGGGTTCCCTGCACCCATATAGCAGCAGCTCACAACCATCTGTAACTCCAGTTCCAGAGACTGTGACCCCTCTTTTGGACTCCATGGGCACCAGGCTTGCATGTGGGGCACACAGATACATACATGCAGACAAATAAACATATGAAATAAAAACATCTTACAGAAGTTGAATTCGATGAAAATACTCCATTGTGCTGGTGTGAGGAGCTAACCTTGAATGTCCTGGCATGGGGACTGTCAAAGGGAACCTTCGGCGTGTGTGCTATGAAGGGAGTAGGACAATGAACAGGGAACACTGCCATGCGACCTTGATGCTAAGAAGGTGAGGGAAAGGAAAAGGAGGAAGTCACAGCTTCCTGTGTACCCTTTCTGGGCGCAGGGGAACTGTGAGGCCGTAGGTGGATGGATCCAGGCATGCCTTCAACTCTCCTGCTCTGTATCATTAAGCAGTCCGGCCAGCCTGTACCACCCCCACTGCTACTTCATCTTTCCGGACATTCCTCCATGCCCCAAGCCCCCGTCGTGGAGTTCTGGACCCTGAGATCAGCTTTCACCACACCTCTTCCTGTCTCCCCATGAGCTCAGTCCTCACTGGGAAAACGCCTCACTAGGTCTCCTCCTTTCCCTGCCTACATCTCTATCCACTGCAGGATGGAGAGAGAGCATGGAATGGGGAGGTCTTAAGAGATTTTTTTCAAGGATTCTGAGAACAATTCAGCACCTTTCTGCTGGCTCAGACAGTATCTGATACTCAGTTCTCCTGGAGTGCTGGGGGAGCAGAGGGGCCTTTGAGGGAGGCTTGAACCTGTTATGAGAAGCCCAGAGGTGAGAGAGATGCTGTCTGGGAACCAGGATGTTTGAGGTTTGAGTAAGGAAAGTGGGACAAGGTTGGCAGAAAGGTAGTGCTCAGCCCCAAGCCAGGTGAGCCCAAGGGCTACCTGATGACATCATAGACTGCGTCTGTCTCCGGCCGATTACTCATCTCCTGAGGCCATGTTTTTTCACCAGAATTACATTGCCAGTCTAGCAGTTCAGGTAACCTGGCTGCCGGCAGCAGCTCGGCAACAGAATGCTCCCTTGCTTGCTGGAGTCCTCCAATCCCATCACTTGCACACAGAACAGAAACTAAAACCATGGCGCTTAGGCTGGGGAGCGATTTACTGAGGAGATTTCCCTGCAAGCATGAGTACCTCTTCAAATCCCTGGAGCCTGTGCAGAGTCAGGCTCATTGGAGGGCACCTGTAATCCCAGTGCTTCCCAGGCAAGACGGGAGGCCACATCAGTCACCTTTCTGTAGCTGTGATGAACTGTCACGGCCAAGGCAACTTCTTGGGGAGTTTCTTTTGGTTTATGGTTCCAGAGGGTTAGATCTGTCGTGGTGGGGAAGCATGGCAGCAGGCATGGGGACAGGAGCGTGAAACAGAGAACAGCTAGGGAGGTAAGACCAGAGACACGCTAAGCCTGACCCCAGTGACATTTGTGTAGCAAGGCTCCGCCTCCCAAAGGTTCCACAACCTCCCCAAACAGTGTCACTGAGGAGCCAGTGTTTGAATAGCTGAGCCTATAGACATTCAAACCACTACAGAGGTGGTCCTGGGAAACACATGGGTCAGCTACGGTGAACAACAAAAAGACCGTCTCAAGGTGGAGGGCGAAGACCAACTCCCGACATTCTCCTTTGAACGCTACACAAATGCAAGTGCACACACTCATCACACACACACACACACACACACACACACACAAAGGCTTAAACATAACTTTGATACACTGAATTTATTCTCTCTTGACTAGAGAGAAGATTAATGAATGGGGTGTGGCTGTAGAGATAGCTCAACAGCTAAGGGTACTTGCTGGCCGGGCATGGTGGCGCACACACACCTTCAATCCCAGCACACAAGAGGCAGAGGCAGGCCGATCTCTGTGAGTTTGAGACCAGCCTGGTCTACAGAGTGAGCTCTAGGACAGCCAGGTCTGTTACACAGAGAAACTGTGTCTCAAAAAACCAAAAAAGAAAACAAAGAGTGCTTGCTGCCCTTTCATAGAACCTGAGTCCAATTCCTCGCACCCACATAAAAGGGTTCACGACTGCCTGCAACTTCATCTGTGGGGGGTCCGACACTGTCTTCTGGCTTCCACAGGCACCCACACTCATGTGATATACATGCACATACACACATACACAAATATGTTATCGTGTTATTTGATGTGTGAATGTTTTGCCTGTATGTATGTATGTATGTATGTGCACAATGTTTGTGGTTGGTGCCCATGGAGCTCAGAAGAAGGCATTGGGTCCCCTGTAATTGGAGTTATGGATGGTTGTAAACTATCATGTGGGTGCTGATAATCGAACCTGGGTCTTCTGCAAGAACAACCATTAATTGCTGATGCATTCCTTCTGCACCGCATCCCCCCCCACACACAAAAAAAATTTTTAGTTGAGTCGGGTGGTGGTGGAGCATGCCTTTAATTCCAGCTCTTGGGAGGCAGAGCAGGTGTCCCTGGCTGTTCTGGAACTCTCTCTGTAGACCAGGCTGGCCTTAAACTCACAGAGATCTGCCTGCCTCTGCCTCCCAAGTGCTGGGATTAAAGGCCTGAGCCACCACCACCCGGCAAGATAAATGAATCTTTTGGATAAAGTAATAGCTGGGCGCCGGGCGGTGGTGGCGCACGCCTTTAATCCCAGCACTCGGGAGGCAGAGCCAGGCGGATCTCTGTGAGTTCGAGGCCAGCCTGGGCTACCAAGTGAGTTCCAGGAAAGGCGCAAAGCTACACAGAGAAACCCTGTCTCGAAAAACCAAAAAAAAAAAAAAAAAATTAAAAAAAAAAAAAGTAATAGCTGGGCATGATGGTGCATGCCTTTAATTTCAGCACTCAAGAGGCAAAGGCAGGCCAATCTGTGAGTTTGAGGCCAAAATGGTCTACATAGTAAATTCTGGGCCTGCCAGGACTGCCTAGTGAAATCCTGCCTCAAAACAACAAAAAAATTTATAAATAACTTTTTAATTTTTTGTTTGTTTATGTGTATGAGTATTTTACCTGCATGTATGTCTGTGTACCACATGCATGTCTGGTGCTTACAGAGCTCAGAAGAGGGTGTCATATTTCCTGGGACTGGGATTACAAGTGGTTATAGCCTCCATGTGGATGCTGGAAATTGAACCCAGGTCCTCTGAAAGAGCAGCCAATGCTCCTAAACACCGAGTCATTTCTCTCGGCTAAGAAGATATTCTTCTCCAATGCATCATGAAAGGCCTTCAGCATCTCCCATCATCCTTCCTCCTTTCTGAGTGCCAGAAGCACCAGTCCTTGCCCTGGGAAATCCCCAGAGCTAAAAAGGAAGTACCACCAGGACAGACAGAGACACTCTGCTAACTTCTCCAGAAATGGGTTCTTCATTTGCAGTTGCTGGGGAATGAGAAATCAGAGTCCACAAAAATGCTTTTGCCAGCCCTGTCTTCCTATCGCCTCATGGCACAGTAATTTACGTCTAATTAACTCTCTTGGTTACAGTCGGGGAGAACCAGTGCCAGTAGTCTATGGTCCCCGCCTTATATGAAAAGGACTCCCCACTAGCCCATCTGAATATGCACTTTCTCCTTGTCATGCCTCTCCTTTTGTCCTTTCAAGCCGGAGGAGTTGTGGCATTCCTAGAGATTGGCCAAGAATGTGGAAGGACCGAGCCAGCCTCTTCAAAGAACTAAGACAAGGGAACTGCACCTGCCCTTGTCATTGAAGGCAGAGACCAGACCCTTGGGGAACAATGAACGGCAGGAGTAGGAATCTGGCCTAACCCAGTTCCACAGTCTCACATCAACTAGTCAGCCACTGTCTTGGGGTTTCTATTGCTGTGACGAAGCACCATGACGATTAGTAACTTGGGAAGGAAAGGGTTTCTTTTGCCTACACTTGCACATCACAGTCTGTCACTGAAGGAGGTCAGGGCAGGAACTCAAGGCAGAGGCTGAGGCAGAGGCTGTACAGAACACTGCTTGTTGGCTCTCTCATCACGACATGGTTTGCTCAGCCTGCTTTCTTTTTTTTCTTTTTTTTTTTTTTTGAGACAGGGTTTCTCTGTGTAGCTTTGGAGCCTGTCCTAGATCTCACTTTGTAGACCAGGCTGTCCTCGAACTCACAAAGATTTGCCTGGCTCTGCCCCCCGCCCCCCAGGACTGGGATTAAAGGCGTGCGCCATCGCCGCCGCCGCCGCCACCACTTGGCCTTGCTTTCTTTTCTTCCTTCTCACTTTTTTTTTTTTTTTTTTGAGACAGGGTTTCTCTGTGTAGCCCTGGCTGTCCTGGAACTCACTCTGTAGACCAGGCTGGTCTTGAATTCACAGAGATCCACCCGCCTCTGCCTCCTGAGTGCTGGGATTAAAAGTGTGTGCCACCACCACCTGATTCAGCCTGCTTTCTTTCTCTCTCTCTCTCTCTGATTTATTCATTATGTATACTGTGTTCTGCCTGCATGTATCCCTGCAGACCAGAAGAGGGCACCAGACATCACTTCAGGTCGTTGCTGGGAATTGAACTCAGGACCTCTGGAAAAACAGCTAGTGCTCTTAACCTCTGAGGCATTTCTCCAGCCCTCAGCCTGCTTACAGCACCTACTACCACCTGCCCAGAGATGGAAACACCCACAGTGGGCTGGGCCCTTCCACATCAATAATTCATCAAGAAAACACCCTTTTTTTTTTTTTTTTTTTTTTTTTTGGTTTTTCGAGACAGGGTTTCTCTGTGTAGCTTTGCGCCTTTCCTGGAACTCACTTGGTAGTCCAGGCTGGCCTCGAACTCACAGAGATCCACCTGGCTCTGCCTCCCGAGTGCTGGGATTAAAGGCGTGCGCCACCACCGCCCGGCAAGAAAACACCCTTTAAAAAAAAAAAAAAGAGCTGGGCGGTGGTGGCCCACGCCTTTAATCCCAGCACTCAGGAGGCAGAGCCAGGCGGATCTCTGTGAGTTCGAGGCCAGCCTAGGCTACCAAGTAAGTTCCAGGAAAGGTGCAAAGCTACAC